CTAGTATCGCTTTGTTAAACGTGATGAGGTCTTTGAAGCCCAAACCTCCTTTGTCTTTTCTTTGCTTCAGTATCTCCCATCTTCTCCAATGAAGGCTGGCTTTTGATGCATGTGTTTTCCACCAGAATAAAGCTATCTTCCTCTCTATGGCCATGCAAACGGACACTGGGATTTTGAATATGGACATCGCATACTGTGGTAAAGCATGTGCCACTGCTTTTATTAAGATCTCTTTACCCGCTTTGGAGATAAAACTTTCTTTTCATCTTTCCAACTTTATGTTTACTCTTGCCAAAATCCATGCGAACATCTGTTCTTTTGTTTGGCCCCAATCGGAGGGGATTCCTAGGTACTTTCCCGTTTTGTCAATCTTCGGAACTCGCAATTCTTGGGCCATATTCCTTCTCAGCTGATGTGAGCACCCTGAACTGAAAAAAACTCCTGATATGTTGAGGTCGATTTCCTGACTTGTTGCGAAGCAATACTGATGTAGAATAGAGGTTAAGTTTTGGCATTCACCAACCTTTCCATCTATAAAGAAAATAGAATCGTCTGCAAAAAGTAGATGGGAAAGTGTCGGGCAAAACCTGTTGAGTCTAATTCCTCTAACACTCTCATTATTCACAGCTTTCTTCATGAGTGAGGAGAGTACGTTTGCAACAATTATGAATAAGTAAGGGGATAAAGGGTCTCCTTGCTGAGGACCTCTTAATAGCGCAAAGAAAGGAAGGGGTTCTTTGTTAAACTTGACACTAAGGGAGGCTGTGGTGACACATTGCATAATCCATGAAACCATCTCGCACTGAAACCAATCTTAACCATGCATGCCTTAAGGAAGTCCTACTCAACTCGATCATAGGCTTTTTTCATATCCAGCTTGAGGATGGCTTGAAATTTCTTTTTCCTCTTCCTGATTCTTAGCTGATGTAAGACATCTTGAACAACTGGGATATTATTTTGTATTTGTCTGCCGCTAACAAAAGCGCTTTGCTCTTCCGCTAACATATTAGGAAGCCAAGGTTTTAGGCGACTTGCCAAGACCTTGGAGATAATTTTGTAGTCGAAGTTGCACAAGCTAATGGGTCTGAACTGGTCTAGCGTTTCTGGGTTAGACTTCTTGGGAATTAGAACAATATGGGTACTATTCAAGTTCGGGTCAAGATGGCCAGAGTCAAAGAAAGTTCTCACCATAGTGAATACATTGTGCTGGATGATGTCCCAATGTTGTTGATAGAATAGCCCATTTAAACTATCTGGTCCCGATGCTTTCTTTGCTCTTAACTGGAAAGTTGCTTCCTTTGCCTCCTCCATTGATACACTTCTTAGTAGACTGCAATTCATTTGATCCTCCATTAAGCTAGGACACTGTTCTAGTACTGGCTGAAAGTTTCTTGGGCCATCGGTGGTGTATAGAGACTTAAAGAACTGCTCCGTCATGTCCTGTAGTTGCTTTGGATCTCGACACCATTCCTCATCTATTAATTTCAGCATGGAGATCTTGTTTCTTTGTCTACTTTGTACTATGGTTGCATGGAAAAACTTAGTGTTTTTGTCTCCCCACTGCAACCAGCTGATCTGTGATCTCATTCCTCAAAACAGTTCCTCTTGTTTCCCTAGTTCATCTATTTGTTGGTTCAAGAACTTCACCTTCTCTCTATTGTGGTGCACAGTTGGAGCATTCGTGATTAGGGGTGAGTGGTTCCGGGTTCCTTATAGGTTCCACACGGAACTTTGAACCTACCCTCGGGTACAGGTTCTCCATTTTTTGGAACCTAAAACCTATCCATCGGAACCTGGAGCCTGTAACCTATCATGTCACAGGTTCCGGGGTAGGTTCCAGGGTTTAACAGGTTCTTTTTTTATTTATTGCATTTTTAGTTAAACAAAACAAAATTGAACGCAACAATACTGAACAAGCTTGTCATTCATCAAAGAAAATACAAAAGACTAGTTTTCCTAGCATTATGGTTCAAATAAATATAACTAAAATGAGAAGTCATTGCGTGAATCGATATTAGGGGTGAGCAATTCCATGTTCCATATAGGTTCCACCCATGATAGTAAGTTCATCATTTTTTGGAACTTGGAACTTACCCTATTACAGGTTCGAGGGTTGATTCCAGAGTCTACTTGAGTTCCACCTGTATTATTAATTGAACAATTGCAGTAAATCATCACCTATAATACCCACCACTTACTGCTATGATCCACTAACCACAACTTATATTTAGACACACGAAGAATATGAAACATTAATAAGTCATAAAATGAAAACTCAGACTAGTGGTTCCAAATCATACACTCATCATCTAATACCGTGAAACACCACATGATCACGAGAAGACAGGTTTAGGTTCCAGGTTCCATCTCCCTGGAACCTAGAACCTACCCATCGAAACAGGTTCTCCAATTTTTGGAACCTAGAACCTATCCTGCATATCTTGGAACCTGGAACCTGGAACCTATATGTTCCCATTGGTCAGGTTCTCAGGTTTCAGGGTAGAACCTGGAACCATGCTCACCCCTATTAGTGATCTTCTGAAGCTCCCTTTTTAGTCAGTCAATTTGGCGTTTCGCATTTGAGAACTTCTTTTTGCTCCACTTCATTAATACTTCTAATACTCTTTGTAATTTCCTCAGGAGTTTCTCATTTTCGAATCCAGGTATACTCCACATTGACTGAACAACTCTTCTACATTCTTCATCTTCCAACCAGTATGCTTCAAACTTGAATTTCCTCTTCCTTTTTGTGGTTGCTGCTAATAGTGAAAGCAATAGGGGATAATGATCCGAGCCAACCGCAGGAAGGGCAAGAACTTGTGCATTTGGGTACATTACTCTCCACTCCACATTGTATATGACTCTATCAAGTCGCTCTTTGATGTGTGCCTCTTTGCCCATATAAATGCGCAACCCTTGCTCTCTACATCCATAAAGGAACATTCACTAAGAAAGTCCCAAAACGCAGCTAACATGTAATGATCCGCCCTACATCCTCCGACCTTTGAGAGGCTTTGGAAAGAATGGAAATTGAAGCATCCTCGGGGTTCGTTTGTTTTATTGAAAATTTCATGATAAAAAGAATATTTGAAAACCATTTTCCTTTTTGCCAAAAGGGACTGTTTGTTTTCTTCTAATTTTAACTTATTGTTTTTAGTCAATGGAAAATATTTACGCCAGGTCAATTGACTTTCCGTAATCCAAGCACCGGAAAGTCAGAGAATAATTTTCTGAAAATTGTTTCTTTCAAACAAACGACCCTAAATTGATTTGAGAAATTATTTTATGATTTACTAAAACCCGTTAGATATTGCATCAGCTGATGATCTTGTTGTTGGCCAAAGACTCCCCTTAGAGGCACCGCAAGTACAATTATATAAGTTTGTCGATGTACTCAATTGTCCCGATAACCTTTTGAGGTCGATAATATGGTCAGTTAATTTAAATCGATGATAAGAATAAGCAGAAATTACTCTTCGAAATAGAAAGAGTCTAGGTGTAGATTTTCATAATAAAATTTAGTTAAATGGACCACACTTCTTTAGCTGTGGTTTGACATGAAATACTTTTTACCACTTCTTCGATATTGAATTTTCACCAATGAACAAATATGTTGCATATAATCTTTATAGCCCTAATACGATGTGAGAAATGTTCCTGTTAACTTTCATAAGGTGTTTGACAAGCACTTTACAACTGCAAGTCCACCATACCTCTAAAGCTTGAAAAACATATTACCAATTACAGTGACATCCTAATCCTAACATGAACGTTGCTACCATTGATGTCATCCAACTGCTGGAGCGCCAACTTTTTATTTTTTATTTTATCATAGATTGGACAGAAAAGAAAAAAGAAAAAGTTTTGGGCTCAGTTTGTTTCGCGAAAAATTAATGATTTGAAAAATATTTCTTTAAAAGCGATCACTTGTTATCGCTTATAAAAATAAATGGACGAAAGATATTTTCATCATCGGCGAAAATAATTAGATATAAATTATTATCGATAATGAAAATATTTTCCATTGACTAATTATTTTAAGCGATACAAGAGACCATGTTTAGGAAAATGTTTTCTAAATAATTCATTTTTCAACGAAACAAACGGAGTATTAATATTATCAAAAATCCTAAACCGGTACACACGGACATCTATTAGCTTTTGTCCAATGTCTTTTTTCAAATTGCAGAGGTGGAAACACCCGTGTTAAACAACTCGGATGATGAATGTGCGACGCGGATCTGGCATAGTAATTCAACAAAATGGATATCCCAAACGATAGTCGTTTTCTCGAGAAAAAGCCGAAAGTGAATCAAGATTGTGAAATCCGCTAATTTTGCTCCGAGAGCTCATTCGGATTTTGAAAATCTACTAAAATCCACAATTTTGCCCCAACTTTGCTCTGAGATTTAGCTAGAGGTTACATGAATGTACCGATTTATAATTTTTAGGATGCAAAAATTAATTGGGTTAATATCACGAAAAATCTCAAACTGATACATCTGTGACAAATTTACCCCAAACTAATTTTTTTGACCATCAGAAACCCCAAACTGGTATACCTGTGATATTTGACCACAAAAAATCCCAAACTTGTACATTTATGATAAATTTACCCTCCGTTTGTTTCAGTTAAATTGGATTAATGCAAAAACAAAAAAACCACAAACTGGTACACCTGTGATAAATGAAGGGTAAAACCCAAAACTGGTGTATCCGTCAACTACCGCACGTCATTTAACAAAATAATTTAATAGTAAAATTTAACGGAAACTAACGCGGGGTAAAATTGTCACAAGTGTATCAGTTTGGGATAAAATTATCACAAGTATACCAATTTGAGATTTTTCGTGATATTAAGCCAAATTAATTTGAAGTAAACAAATTTTTTCGACGTGGCATTAATTCAGAAAAAAAAAAGAAGAAGAAGAAAGGGAGAGAAAAAAGAGGAGATGCTTCCCGATGCTGTCCTCGTTGTCTTTCTTCCGGTTCCTTCCTTCACCCACGACCCGATAAAGCGACGGCTGCGTATGTGGCTCCGAATTTGTCGTCCCACATCGCAGGGGCGCTTTGCAGATATTCGCGTGCGTCCTCGCCAGCCTCGCGCCTCTCCTCTCTGCACAGGCTTGGTCGGTTTGCTCGCGCCTGAACTCCTCCTGCTTCGTCTTCGCCATCTCATACTTTTTTTTTTATCTCGTCAGCTCTGCAGAATTAGCGCACCGTTCGCAGAGCCCCGAGTAATCATCGTTCTGTGAGTTGCCCACTTCTCTACGATGACATTATTGCAATGCCACCGCCGCTGATATCACCGTGTCGTGTCGAAATGTAGATGGGTTCGCGCTGGAACGTTGTTGTTTTCGTTCGTTTCTTCCGCTAGCTTTTTGGGTTGTTGAAGTGGGGGTTTTTTTTCTTCTTCTTTTTAGAGGATTGTCTCTCTTTGCTTTTGCTTTTCGGTCCAATTGTGTTGTCGTAGCTTGGTCATGGAAGCTGCTGTTGCCCACCCAGAAAGGGGATAAAGGAGAAGAAAAGGAAAGAAATGCCATTCGATTCACGGGTTTTGAGTGTGGGTGGAAGCTGAATTGGATAAATGCCTCGGACCCATTGTCTTTCGCAATGTGCTTTATCCAAAAATGGAGTTAATAGTTAGTAGAGGAGTAATTACTTCATCGAGCTAGATATGAGTTGACAAAAGATGGAAGGGGAATGTAAAACTGTCGATTTTAATGATGAGGGAATGTTCATGTTGGGGGGAAAAAAACTTTGAAAGGGAGAGGAATGTGAAGAGATTAAGGTTCTGTGCAATGGAAATGGAGAAGGAGAGAGAGAGTTTTCAGTTTTTTCTACCTCTTAGATGAAGGGGGAAGGGACACCATGCTTCTTGCAGTATAGAATTGATTATTCCGTTTGATTTTGTGCTTTTGATAGTTACAACTTTGCATATATTGACAGGTAGCTGCAGAAATTCTCATCTCTTGGACGCAACCGGAAGCGAATATCAGATGTCGACCGCAAAAATAACACCTACAGCCTCTGTCCTCTCTTTGACGATAAAAAACCTGGGTTTCGGTCTCCGCCTCCCAAGCTACACAATTCTACCTAACAACTTCAAACAGCGCAATGGTTGCTCCCAAAGAAGACTGTGTGTAATGGCGAAATCATCCGCCTTGAACCCTCTAGAAGTCTGCGCTAAGGCTTCTGTAACCATTCCTAACAAGTTGGGTGACTGTGAGTTATGCTTCCTCCCCTTTTACCTCTAATTGTTGCTCATGCTCTGTTTGATCATGGGGAGAGTGAGCCAAAGTGATGGACATTAATGGAATTGTCTAAACAGAGTGTATAACAAGAGTAGCCACATTGTATGAAATTGCATATTGGGAGTAAATTGTCATGCTTCTTATAGATATGTGTCCTTGAGTAGCCAAAGGGAAAAAAGAGAAGAAATTTGTGTTTTCCTTTTCCTTGCTGCTGGAGAAAGCTGATAGTTCCTGATATTATCCCGTTACATGGGTTCTCTAATATCTTTCTAAGCTATATTTGTATTGCTTAATATGCTTGCTCTGTATTAGTTGATTCATGAAGGGGGCAGCATTCATAAAAGTACTGTTATATGAATGGGAAGCTGTTAAGTGCATCTTGGAGATTCCAATATTCTTCTGCATTTGGAATTGTTTAGTAGAAATATTCATATTTGCCCAGATGATTGAATGAGATAAGTTGAGTGGAAGTTGTCTATGACGTGCCAATCTATTGTGCAGTAGTTGTTGTGAATCGAGGTCATTTTGAGAAAAAGAAAAAGGAGAAGTGGTCACCTTTCCTTTCTAATTATTATTATTTTTACTTTGTTGTCTTAAGTTACTCACCGGGATTTAGACTGTAGGCTCTCACATAACACTTGGAAGAGACATTCAAACTATTTACTTTTACTTACATCCATGTAACTTTTTCGTGACCTGCATTTAGCACATAAGCGAAGATGATAGCATGATATTGTGGTTGCCTGGTATTAATCTAAGCACCATTCCAAATGATATCCGTAATTTGTGAGTTATATACACCTGTCTTTCGGTCATCATGCATGAAATGTGTTATATGTGGCATACTGGTTGGAGTTAGTCTGCATACGAAACTAATTATTGGCTCCCTCAAATTCCCTCTTCAGGTCCTTTTTGTCAGAGGGTACTACTGACCATGGAGGAAAAGCATCTTCCTTATGACCTCAAATTGGTGGATTTGGGTAACAAACCAGAATGGTAATTTGTGGTTACTTCTCGGCTTGATATCTGTGCTTCTTAATTTCAAGCATTTGTTTTTGGATGCCTCTTTAGTTTGTTCCCAAGTAGTTCTATCAGCTAGTACAATTTTTCATATACTTACATCTCGTGTGTAGGTTTTTGAAAATCAATGCAGAAGGTAAAGTTCCAGTGGTAAAACTTGATGAGAACTGGGTTGCAGATTCAGATGTCATCACGCAATCCCTGGAAGAAAAGTACCCTGATCCACCATTGAAGACCCCAGCTGAGAAGGCTTCAATGTATTATCACATTACTATTATCATGTTGTTGTGCTTTTCTTTGCAGAATAATCATCTTATTGATTATTTCTGATGATATAAGTACTACTTTTATATGATGCTGTATGTTGTTTCCATTCTGTTTTTTTCTGTTGGGTGGATCAATCTGTTCATCGAGTTTAGTGGTGTTTTCTCATGACATGTTTCTCTTTACTGCATGCGGTTGTGCATTTGCTATCCATCCCAATTGCAACACCAAAAAAGATATGCTCACCCGATAACAATAAACAGCTAGCCGTTTGATATTATTGACGAAATATGTCAAGTTTTGTGAGTTGAAATTTCTAATCGAACCATCATTCAGACTCAAATATGCTTTTCGGCCTTTGATATATTTAATTTGGTAGTACCATGGATCTGAGCATCTGGAGGCAAGAAACCTGTCTCAGCTTTTCCTGCTAAAAAATTCAATGGTTTCCAGCTGTCACTGTCATTCAAGGTCATTCAGTAAATTTAATGCTATTCTCTTTTCTTCTTCATTTGATTTAGCAATCACCATGACTTCATTATGTTTTGTTTTTATTACTCTGATTCATTACCGATCTGCTGCATGTGTTTTTATTAGCTCTTGGATACAGTCTACTATATTGCCAATACCACCTGGCTTGAATTCTCCAAGAATGGCAACGGAAATCAACTGTAGGATATGATATTTTTAGTAAATTAAAGGTGATGAAATAAGCTATATGATGTATTTCTTCTGTGTAGTGGGTCGAAAATATTTTCAACATTTATTGGTTTTCTCAAGAGCAAAGATTCTGCTGATGGCACTGAGCAGGCACTCCTTAATGAGCTCAGTTCTATCAATGATCATATCAAAGAAAATGTAAGTCCTCCTTTGACTCTGTTGTAGGCACTCAACTTTTACTGCACAGATGTTATCGAAGGCCTATCTGAACTGGCAGCAATATTTGCTCTTACCTTTTAAAAACATTGCTTGCTGCCTGGTATTGATATCTTCCTTTTTATATATGATGGACTGATTACAAAGACCAGGCCTCTGAATAGGATTGCTTCTCTTGTTAGTTGTTTCATTATATAGATTTTACATTAACCAAGTGTGAATTTGTATGAACATTATGATGTGTCTTAGGAGGAGTTGGGCATATGACTGTTGCCGATCGTATGGTTTACGTCCTTATTGCAACAAACAATCGATTGAACAAGTACCAGATGCTTGTTGGCCAACAAAAAAAGCAAAAACAAGTACTGGATTCTTAGTTTGGGGAACTGTCATGAGCAGTATAATTAATATCTTAGTTAAAGTTAACGTTGCACTTGAACCTCAGTAATAGTAAAATAATCAATGTAGAATTTGGCTGATATAGGCAATAGGTAGAAAGCACCTAAGAAAGTGGGGGCAGCGTTATCAGCAATAGATAAATTCCTCTCTAGAGGTTTATTATCGGGTTTCAGAGTTTTTCATGTGGCCAAAAGATTAAAAAATAGAGAGAAAAGAGGGAAAATCAGAGCGTTTCATAAAGCCTGTAGGCTATTAGCATTTTTCTATAGACTGAGCCAAATTTGCTAAGTGTAGGAGTGGAAGAATCAATTTCTATCCTTTTAACCTGTGATAAAACTACATTGAGGCCTGACGTTTTTAGTGCATATGCTAACCAAATCATTACATAGATTTTGATCTGTCAAAACCACAGTAAAAAACTAACTAGAGATAGACCAGCTGTAGATAAGTGCTGCATAAGTACAATCGTAGAAGTAACAGAGTATTATGGTAGCAGGGAACAGAAATGATGGTGCATGAACTAGCTGTAGCGGCAGTTTAGCTTCTGATGAACGCCATGATAAACAATGGACAGGGACAGGTTAAATTAGATATTGAACAGCGTGGTGACACACTACATAGCACTTGAAAGTCTTTCACGGCTTGTTAATGAGCTGCAGGGCATTCACATAATATTGTTTCCTAATTCCTGCTAACTTGTCATTGTTAATTCAATTTCTTCCTATCCTCTAGGGCCCTTTTATCAATGGGAAGGAGATTTCTGCAGCAGACTTGTCCTTAGGGCCAAAGTTATACCACGTGGAGATTGCTTTGGGTCATTATAAGAATTGGGCGGTGCCGGACTCTCTACCTTATGTGAAGTCTTACATGCAGGTAACTGAAATCGGTCTTCCATTAGTATGACTGCTACTCGACTGTAACAAATTGAATCAGCGTGAAAAGCTAGTGCTCAATATCGATTGATGTCCGGAGATGATGATTCTGCCGATATTGCTATTATTGTCTCTTTCACCTCTGCTTGCTGCCTGATCATTTTACCCAAAATCCTATATATGCTGCTTTATCTAGACCTGTTTTGATTGCAGCAATAATTCATTGAAATTCTTTAAAATTTCACAATCTTTATTACAATGATATTTTGTCACATTTAGCAGACTTAGAAAATGCTTGCTAATTGGGCTCTCTTTTGGTAGAACTTATTAGGCAGTTGATCGGCCTATATTTCCTTTTAGACTATTGCCTTATTCTAATAACGCTCTGTTCCTCACACCCAGAGTGTCTTTTCAAGAGATTCTTTCGTCAAAACACGAGCGCTTAAGGAGGACGTCGTAGCAGGATGGCGTCCGAAAGTCATGGGCTAAACATGTCTCCCGGCGCTTTATGCCATTGCTGGTGATTTCGTATGTGTACATACCTTACCCTAGTAGACTTTGCAAACTACAATGATCAGTGGACGGATTTGTCATGGTTTTACCGGCGGAGTTAATTGATAGAATCGGCAATTCTACTTTTTGCTGTCTTGATATGGCGATGGACTTGTAATTCATCAATGACTCTTTTAGCAGGAGTTTACTTATGGTGCATCACAAGCATTGTATTGTACGAGGCTTGAGGTGGCACTGTATCGGCTTGTTGCCATGTAAAGCAGGCTATTCTATTTGTAAATCTCCTCATTTCCCGTCATTTGTCTTTCCAACCATACGGGTTTGTCGTCGTGTTAACACAATTCGTCTGTTTAGGATCACACCTGCCAATTGACATTGCCATCTACACTTGTTAAATCACCTATTCTCGTGAAAAAGAAAAAAAAAAACAGTCCCCAGTTCATACAAACACAGGATTTCTGTTTGGCTCGACAGAGAGACGATACACTTTACCAGAAGCATCATCATCTGCTTAACATATGTTAGGATCCAGATAGTACAACCTACTTTTCCAATGTGCAAAATCATACGGGGTTGAACACTCCTTGGAAAAGGGATTGTTTCATCTTGGGCCGGAACTCGGCATAGCTAATCGAATTCCATCTTTTACATGGTATGCTTCGGCGGAACTCGGTGTTGCCAAAAGCGAACATAAAGATAGAGAACTTCTTCACAGTCTTGCACTTTGGTTATTTGAGAAGGACCAGAGAACTTTTTGACGCAGTGTCAAAGTGAAGCCTTAAAATTAAGCCCAAAACACTAAGTTTTGCAATTTGGGCTTCGTGACTCTCGACGGTAGATCTCCGACATCCCCTGTCACCGGAAACGACACAGTCATGGCTGGTCCCTTCGACAAAATTTCTTCACGGCTATCTCAATCTGTCTTGTAGATTCATATAGCGTGGTGTTCTGTTCTTACAGCAAGACCGTGATCCCCCATGGTCCATCGTCTGTCATTGTCAAGGTATGCGATTACCTCACTTCTTCTATTCACGGATTCCACACCCCGAAGATGGGAAGCTTCGCGCAGTAGTAGAAGTGGTTCTTCTGAAATGGTCCATACGAGGACGATGAAGTAAGTTTCTTACAAGGTTTTTTCTGATCTTTGTGTCCACCTTTCTGATTCTCAAAGAACGAGGACGAGGAGATTGATCAAGAAAGATCCGTTGTTCTTATTATTCATCGATAGAGCGTCACATCTGGAGATCATAATGTATTTATGCAGTTACTTATTGGTATCTAATCGAATGTACGAAAGGATCCTGGACTAATCATAGGATGCGATGAAAAAGATTCCAAGAGATGTCGGCCGCGCCGATCGGCAAAATGTACTGATTTTATTTTTCATAAAACAGAGAAATGAAAGCCTGGTAACGGAGTTATCACCTCCTTTTGGTTTGATAATTGGCACCCTAGGGGTCCTCTTTACAAATTATTCACGGACAGGGATATTTACAACTCCGGGATTCCGCGAAGCTCTACGGTTAGTGATTTTTTCTCATCCGATTGGCCCCAGTCTTCGGTCCTAGACACACTTCGCTCCTGGCTGCCTACTGGTTCTCTTCAACCGGGAGTTAGCGATAGTATCTCTTGGCAGGGACATCCCTCCGGCGACTTTTCTTCTGCCAAGGCGTGGGAATCCATAAGGATCAAGGGCCAGAAAGTTAAATGGAGTTCATTCATCTGGGATCCTTCCATCGCCTCCAGATACGGGTTTCTGTTATGGATCACTACTCTGAATAGGCTTCTTACGCAGGAATATTTATTGAGGCACCATAGGATCGACGAAGGGTCCTGTGCTTTTTGCCGCTACAGACCGGATCCCACCGATCACCTCTTTTTCGACTGTAATATCACGGGCTCCCTTGCTAGCTTTTGGGCTTCCAAATGCAATCTTTCCTGGCGCAATAAACCGTGGCTTAACAACCTCCGATGGGCTATACGGGTCATTGGTGGCCATAGCTTCCACCAACGCATTGCTCGCTGCTCCCTAAGTGCCTTATGCCACATTATTTGGACGGTAAGAAATGATATCCTTTTTAGGAGCAAACCACTTTTTATACCGGCCATCCGCAACCATCTTATTAAGGTGACGAGAGATAGAGGTTTATCCTTTAAACCCGTCGAAGATAGTCCCCGCAACCGGAGAGTTCAAGCAAACTGGGGCATCTCTGCCTCTATTTTTGATTCCTAGTATTTGCTTAGCAGTTGTATAGCTGGCTTTCGCCGGAGTGTTCGGCCTCCTTGTTCCACCCTCGCGGCTTTTTTCTTTTCTCAATTGTACACCTTGTACCCGTGAGAACACCATCCTTGTTCCCTAAGGTACGAGGTTTTTGAGTACAATGTCCTTTCTTTGTACTTGGTGCGTTAAAAGTATAAATACATCTTACTTTACCAAAAAAAAAAAAAAAAGCCAATCGAGCGCCAAAGTTCTTCAGAGTACTTGATTTGTTTTTCCATCACAAATGAGTATCATTAATCACTTCACCATATCTCTAGATCATATCCATGAACTCAAGCTATCAAACGACTAAAAATGGGAGACATACTTAGATTTACATTGAATTTAGAGCGCTTCATTGATACTTCGCCCAATCCATGCTGCCCATCTTCATGGGAATCATCTCCACGAAAAGTCTTCCTTTGCTTCTAATTAAAAAAAAAGGCACAAACTTTACCTTAAGTGACAATTCTTGGCCGAACTTTTTTTGTCTCATAAAAAATCACCAACTTCAACTTAAATCCCAAATTTGACCTAAACAATTTGGAAATTTCATATTACAGGGGCCATATTTGGAACTAGAGTAAAAGTCAGCGCTTTTTATTCAGACAAAAAAAAGTTCGAGCCAGAATTGAATTAGCCCGCTTTCTACTCCTTATGACTACCAATATACAGGAAAGGGGAAAGCTATCTAGGGTTAGGAGTCGGAGGAATTTTCATAGTGACGCAAATGTAATTAAACTTTTAATAATTTTGACCCCAAAAAAAATCCCTCTAAAATAAGATGATTTGGAGGGATTTGAAAATATTTGATGGTTTGCATCTACTCTTTCTCTTCTTTCATTTTCTATAAATCATACAATTCATCATTTCTTTTCTTTTCCCTTTCCCCATTCAAACACATATATGCCCCGAGAGCCATCATGAAACTATGTTATGTACTACATGCACATCATTTATATTTTGAAACTAAAAATAATCCGCAATATCAAAATAACCTCTACACATAAGTTTTCCGACATATGTGACCAACTTGAGATGTCACGAAAAGTTTGCACACAGGTATGGTATCTTGAAGATTAAGGTTTACCGTCCACAAAAGTAAGTTTTGCGTATTAAAAGTTAAGACGGTCAATGAGCCAATCAACACTCTACCTATTTGAGAAGAGTCCGACATTACTTTGAGGGTCGTATTATTATCCATCCTCAGTTGGAGGAAAGCGATAAGATTGATGGGTCATCGTCTCGAGCATCGCCCACAAATTTAATCGAAAATAAACACGAATGGCGGAGGAAAAAACACAACTCTTTATTCCTTTTTCTTGTTGGCTTTCTCCAACAACATAGACTCAAGCCTCAACTCTACTTTCTGTTCCACATCTCAATTCAAAAAACTACAATAAAAGAAGAAGAAGAAGAAAAAGAAATCTGTCCTTGCTCTTCATATTTGGTGAGAAAAGTACAATAAATTTTCTTTCTTTGTTTTGTTTTGGGAAGTGGCATTGCTATCTAATCCACGGTTCCTGGTTCATCCAAAGTTCTTCTGCACCATGAAAGATTATCCAAGCTGACACTCCACCTCATCACCGTGTACATCCCAATAGCGACTGCGTGCTCCCGTCCGTCCTTGCTGTCTCCTTCCCATACCGCGCAGACGCTGGGGCGTTCCCCGGGGGCCACACGTTGAACGTGTGGCTCCAGTTCCGTCTTCCCTCTCGCTCCCTTCACCTTCTTCTCTCTCTCGCTCTCGCTCACTCTTTTTCTCTCGCTCGCTCTCTCTGTGCGTGCTCGAAGCTGGTGTTTCCTCGTATGGGTGAGTTACAATCACCCACTCATTTTTTGCCTTGCTTTGCAAAATTGCGGCAGTATCCTTTTGCGAATGCGCAGTTGTTCTTCGACTGCCTGTTCCGGATCAAGGGATGTGATGCAAATGCGCCATCTTTGTGCACTGTCTCGGCTGGACTTGGTTCAGTCCGAGAAGCTGGTCTGTCTTTCAAAATTTTGACTAGGCTGCAAGAATTCGTCCCTTCTTCTTCCCAATAGGCTGATAATTTATGATGGGTACCAGTCGTTTTCATCGGTAGTTCAGTCTGGTTTGGTGATTCTGTTCATTTCAAAGTGACACGGTAAGAGTCCCATTATTGTTGATCCATGCCCGTATTATGTGAACTGAGTTTACATGCTGGTCCAGTCTATGCGTATCAAATTAATGCGCTTTTGTTCATACCGATGCTTAGATCAAGCCTTCGATATTTGTCTTAGCCTACATCCATTTGACTGTTGCGTAAGTTTCTCGCCCCGATCTTGTACAGCGTATATCTATTTTGTTCTGACTTCGAGCTAAACAGGGTGTCAGGCAAATCCCGGCCTTGATCAGTTGGCTGACTGGGTAGATCCTCTTTTGTAATGGCACTCACAACCAGCAAGCTTTCTCGAAGTCCATCATTGACTGATCGGAATACCATCAGTAGATCATGTGGGACGACACCCTCTCTCGAAAGTTCGATTCAGCTAAGTCCTGTCCACCCGAGTCAAATTGAGCATAGACGTTGGCGTAGAGGACGTCTCTTGTCAGTGAAACCGAAATTTTCGAAGGATATCCTGCGTTACCTGTGCGGAAAACCTCTTCCTACTCACGGTGGCACTCGGGGATCGTCAGTCTTATGCTTTTCCACGAGAAGACCTAATACCGAAGCAACAGAATGTGCCAGACAGTCTAGGGATTCTTCAAACATAACTAGGTAAGACAAGTCACCCAATTCTGTTCATATTGTCCTCCAAATTGCTCTTCACTTTGTTGAGTTTTATTTCTCGTCGAGAGATGCAATAAGAATTTGTCATGATGCTACATTTGCTAAGCTGATGGGGTTGCTGCATATGGAGAACTCTGACAGCATTTTTGGCTGAAGATTGCTGTATTAAGCCTACACAATAGTCTGTTCCTTTTAGTTTGATTTTTTTTCCTCGTAGTTGCCATGCTCAATTATTTGCATGTGGTATGAAATTTTCTTCTCAATTTGCGTGTTGCTGATATCCCATAATTCTGACATGATACCGCCATTTAAAGTTTTATCAACACAGCCATAGCTATACTCTTAAGTGAGTAATGCTCTTGTGTGTGTGTAATTTTTTAGTGCACAAATTGGAGAAGACAAAGATGACCCACTAATTGCACCATACAGAACTACTCAATCAAGGCAGGGTTTAGCTGAAGCTTGCAGATTTGTGCGGAATGATGCAAAGTTTGTCAATGAAAGGGCTCGCAGTGACATTGTCTTGCTCTCCCGGTATCATTGACTATCTTGTGTCTACATATTATCCTTTCAAGAAAGCATGGGAAAATAATTAGCAAATCCTCCTTACATTACGTAAGAACTGCGTGCCTTCCATAAGTAATGCGTTGCTATCTGCTCATTGTTTACACTCCTTATCAGTGGCATAATGAGATTGGATGCTCGTGCACGTCAAGATGTCGCTATCCTTGGCTCAGAGTTTCTTAAGCTCGATGGTAAGTTATTACACCAATGACATTTTGATCTTATGTGGTTTAAGCATCTACAAGTTTACTAAAATGATAACTTGAGCTCCCCCAAAATCTTTGACTCAAAAGCGAACTTTGAGATTTAGGTTTTCTTTGGGGAGGGTTGGTGGAGGAAGGTTAAGTAATTTGTCTGGATTATCAACTATACTGCCAATGTGTACAGATTTTTGCTCGATAAAATAAAGGGAAATGTGGTGGCCGGGGCATCAGGGCCACCTCATGCTTCCTCGGTCGAACGGTGCTTTACTAATATACATCCTATCCTCCCTAAGAAAAGATGCGAGTCAATGCATAAGAAAACAGAAGAGTGATATTTATTCCTAGTTTCACATTTACATTATGAAGTGGACTGAACTTAACAACCAAAAGGGGGTTAATTGATTGTTGTAGGAATTTTAAAACTTTTTCCAGCAAAACAGCGTGTAAAGGATGAAGCAGTGTTTACAGACAAAGTATCTTCTGCAGAGCAAATATTTTCTATCAACAGAAAGTATAGGATAAAAGACTTTGCAAAGTGATTTATGGTGGTTCGGTCTTTCCACTTGGCCTACTCTACTCTCCTAGCACTAATAGCCCAATAACAAGGCTTAAAACCTACTCTACAAGTACTTTGCAAAATAATTAGCACCAAGGCACTCTACAAGTATCTTATGCACAGCAAATAACTTCAATCAGAAAAACCTTGTGAAACCTTCGAAGCCTTTGACAGCTATTGTAGAAGTTCCCTCGACACCGAGGCACCGTAGCTCACTCTGCAGGTACACAACCTTCACTTGATGCTGAAAGCTCTCTCTTACAATAATCACATTAAGACTCTCTCAGAAAATGCACTCAGATTGCACAGGGTTCTCCTCAAAGAATAAGCACGGGAGAAAAGAACAAGTGTCAAAACTTTTTGATCCCCTTGACCACCTTCAACTTTCCCTTTTACTCGTATATATATATATAGTCCTCCAAGCTTTCTCAACACTTTGGAGACTTCAAATAGGTCAAATTATCTGTTCATAGATTGTCCATATCTCAGAACATCTTTCTGCAGCCAATTAATGGACTTCACTCGAAATAGATAAAATTGTCTCTGCTTCCTGTCCGATGCTTCCTCTGTTTTGCCAAAAATGGTTAGCCCTGTTTTGACTTTTTGAGAACATTCTTTCCACGGTATTCATGGTCTGAAATTGGCTCCAAAGCGCCAATTTGAATTTGGATTTGAGTTAAATTGATTTAGAGCTGGGTCTTTGTTTTAATGTACGTGGAGTATCATCCACTTTGTTTGTAGTGTGAACTTACTCTACAATGTGGTCCATCTAGACTTTGTTAGTTTACCCAATTTTAATCTGTTTACCTTTGGTATTTAGGTCATTCCGAGCATGTTGATGTACTCAATGTTATCCAAGTTCTTCTCCTTCTAATTGATCCATCCAAGCACCTCGACGGTTACGCATCCATCACTTGTTCACATAATTCTAAGGTCTTTCCAACTCTTAACACTTTCCACTCGGTATCTTGTTCTCCATTTGCAGAGTAAGGAAGCTCTCCACCAGCTCAGACGTCCTGTTGTTAGCATCATTTGCATATGAGCTTATGTATGTAGAGGTCGTTTGCACACTCAAATACACATATTTGTTCACACATAGTGTTTTGTCATCTTCAAAATACGTAGGAGTTTCCCAACACATTAAAACTTCTAATGCGAAGATCTTTCTGCCTTATTAGTTGTTGGATGTACAGTTAAAGTGGTCAATGCTAGTGGTCCAGTATCTATTAACCAACTTCCATTGCACAATGGCGGCCACTTTTTCGCTTGTGTGCGTGTTTTTATCAAAATATTTTGGTCGTAACTAAAGGGGAAAAAATCATGATGCTTATCTTCACCTTCTGCTGGCAGCTCGGGCAAGAGAGGATACTGAGAAAATTGACCGTAATGTGAAGAAGAAAGCTGAACGGCTTAGTCATATTGCAACCGTATGTGCAATTCATTATGTCTCTGTCTTTAACAATAGAGATAGGATGATTGGTAGCTTCTGCCTCTATCTAATTCGATCACATTCTTCTTCACTTATATTTTCTTTCTGGCTTAGATCTTGAAAAACAAAGCACAGTCTAAACTAAAAACTGCTGCAGACCAGCACTGGAGTGACGGAGCTTTGGAGGTTTGTACACTTCATATTTTTCATTCTGTTTCTTTTCCTTTAATTGCTGATACAATTGATACATTTATTTGAAGAAAAATGCTAGTGATGTGCACTGGACATTCTTCCATGTTTTATATTAGATTGCAAATGCGAGTGTATGCTAAACACGCCTTGAAGCATTATTGAAGGTTTGTGATGCATGGGATGAGCTATGGTGAAGAATTGTTTTGGCTTTTTTGACTCCCATAGACCTGTGGGCTGTCAGTGTATGTAAATTCTGGAGGATGGCTTTTTTGTTATCAGACTTTCTAGCAGGATCTCCTTAGGTCATCCTGCTTGATACGCAAAATTAGAATAACCGATCATTGTAGAATTGAATGTTATGTACCTGCTAAGTCTATGATTAGCTCGCAAACTGAGCCCTCATCAATATGGGTGACAATTATCATTTGTTCCATGCGGTTGGTTGGCCATATTGATACAGTTGCTCCTGCGTCAAAGCACCTTATCAACTTTAATCCACCACGTTATGTCAATGATTTCTTTGGTGCATCTATTGCTTCCTTTATGCCTTGGGATCAGGTCATCAATGCAATTACTGACGCTCTTGACCAGGTCTTTTTTAGTCTTATATCACTTATGACATCCACATTTGTGCACTCTCAGTTGTATGAACATAATTTTCGTTATCATACAAAACTGGGTTTTGAAGGGCAGCATTGGTGCACGGTAAAGTTGTCGCCATGTGACGAAAAGGTCACGGGTTTGAACTTGGTATCTATATTGGAAGTCCTAAGAGATATTGTGTCTAAACTGGAAAGAATTTACGATCTGCTCTGTCTAATTGAAATAACAGGAATAGATTTCTCTTGCTTGACATCATTGTTGGCTATAAAGAACTCGTTACTTTTAGGTGATTCATCTGTAATTTTTCGAAACTTACTTTCTGTCGGTCTCTCTGACGATGGCCGGGACAAGTATTGGACTAGTATCTGCATGGTGTTCCTTTTTTTGTGAGTCTGATCTTTAGGACGTGTGGGAGAAAGACATATGTGACCCATGCATACCTGTGTGTAAAGCAATGGGGTAGAGATCCCTGTAGATGGAGTTGAGGGTAGTGCAGAATATATTGTGCCAATGTTGTTGTTTTCCACCCCCGTCTTTGCTTCTCAATGGGCTTGAACGATGTTTCAGGGTGCAACTATAGTATTTATGTGGATATTCTACCTAGGGTTCATTCTAAAAGTTTGTTTTCTCAGTTGTGGTGAAACAACAGTTAAGAGTGGAAAAGATATTTGTCTGTTTGTCTGACTGTCTCTCTCCCTTGCTCTACGCATGTGGATGTGCCCATGCACGTAAGTTTGAATGTTCTAACTCTGTCTTGAATACTTAACATTTTATCCTGTATGTGAAGATTGATCTCAACTTTCAGATCTGTTTAATGGAGATGTCACTTCCTTATCTCATCACAATTTGCTACTTTCAGGCTGATCTGCGTCTTGCTGACCTTCGTGCAAAACAGCGTGCCCTGGAAGATTCCCTAATGGCTTTGGAGGTGTGTTAATCAACTCTGTGATTTAGATGTGCTATGATTCACTTTGTAATGTATGTTCATAAGAGTTTATTATGCTGATCAACGAGAACAAGATAATGGTCATTTTCCTTTCATGTTTATCATCCCAAAGGGCATATGCCTTTTGAGTCTTTTTTAAGCTTTAGTTAAAAAAAACTTAATTAATGGATTTTGCAGTTTATCAAAAACATCCATGACAGGATGGTGAGCAAGATGTACAAATTGTAAGTTCGACTGCTGATAGCTTATTGTTCAATGCGAAATCTCCTTTAGAAAAAATAGACCAGAAGAATAGAAACTTACAAGCTCTCATCCTTATCATTTCATGTTTCTCTGTAGTCCTCTGCCTTCAGATAATGATTCTATATCATCTCAAGATGTGATGGGGCGCATAATGCTCGAAAAGAATGGGAAAATGCTGGATTCCTTCCCAGGGGAAGTGTCTGCTGACCGCATCAGTGCTATCCAGGTCCCTTATTAAAATGGTCGTCTCTCTCGATTTTCTTCTCCTCTTAGCGTCATTGAAGGATTTGAACTTACACTATTAGTTTGATGTAAGTAGGAAGCTTATTGGAGTATGGCATCTGCACTATCTGAAGCTGATGGAATAGACTACACTGATGCTGAGGAGGTCCGAACATCATCTAATTCCAAATGAATGTAATCTTTTCTTAAATATGTTCTCAATGCAATTGGTTCGCTGGTGGTTTTTTAACCTCTTGTATTTTGGGAAAGCAGCTTGAGTTGCTGGTTACAACCCTCATAGATCTTGATGCTATGGATGGTAAAAGTAGTGTGTCATTGCTGGCAGAATGCTCCAGTTCTCCTGACGTCAGTACTAGGTGAGCTATCTTGCTCAAGTTAAACTTTCAAATTCGGATGTGATATTACAAGGATACATAGCGAGATCTGAGGAGTGATGGCCCTTTAGTTTGTTGTACTTTTTAAGGATCAGAATCGTATACATCTGAGTTTCTTTATCATCTTTCGACCCCCCAAAAAAAGTTTTCTTATCATCTTACACAATTATTTGTCCTTGATGCATGCAATTTGTTTATCTTATCTTGTCTCAGCGATAATGATCTGAACCATTGTTAAAGCAAGTTTTACTAGCACCTGTGGGAAGACGTTGATAAGATTTTAGATTTTGTCTTTTAAGACCAAAATTGCATCCTGTATGCCTTTTGTACCTCTTCAATACACAGAAACTGTCTGAATATCTCTATCTGAAGCCTGCTAGTTTGAAGTTATCTCTGGCCATAAGGTAGTTCAGTTTGGGATTCTGGTAATGCAGATATGGATCTCTGTTTATAGACGTTAGGAATCTAATCAAGGAATCTGCTAAAATACTTAACTTTCCCTCTCTTTGTTGGTCTAGACGTGCCCTGGCCAATGCATTGGCAACAGCACCATCCATGTGGACACTTGGAAATGCAGGAATGGGAGCATTGCAGGTAACTATTTTTTATATGACCAAGCTTGTCATTTTTTGAAGTAAGATAAGTTCCGTAATTGGATATGTAAATATTCTACATTAACTGTGGGAGACCTGATGTTTGATTTTCATTGCAGAGATTGGCGCAGGATAGCAATCCATCAATTGCCGCTGCTGCTTCCAAAGCCATGTACGAATTAAAGAAACAGTGGGAAATAGAGGAAGGAGACAACTGGAGGTTTACGATGGACAAGGACCAGAAGGTGGATGATGCAGACACTTAGAGGTTTCTGGATACTCATCTTGTACATATATATATATGGAAAAAAAAAGGCCCAAGTAGTTTTAGGATGAACGCATTTATTGGGCATACCGAATGTGAAAGTGCGCTTCACTGAAGAAGGAAAGAAAAGGGAGCTTGTTAGTTGTCTGCTTATTGTACTTTTTCCCGCCCTTTCAGTATCAAGCATGTCAAGAAACCTAGGCAAGCTCATGATCTTTTTTAATGAAGAAGCAGTCGCATAAATGGTACGAAGATGTCTTGATGTCATAAAGGTTCAGAAACACTATTAATTCAGCCAGCTTCTTTGTAGAAGATGAGTTTTTATCTGCTTGGCCATAAGTAGAAGATATTGATGGAATCATGATTTTTCCATGGTTTCAAGGAGAAGCGAGTAAGACCGATGATTGGCCTCTAAGAATGTGCCTTGTAACCCCATGTAGTACCCACATGCAGAACCAAGAAGCATCCTTTTCAGGATTATGGAATGAATATGATTTTGCAGGGCATCTCTACTAACTCCTGCCAGTAGTTATCCCTAGTTTTCTGGTTTCGATATGCATGCGTGACTGCGAATTTCCTCTATTGTCAAACCAGTAACTCAATTCACTGGCTATTTCTGCCAATGTAGGTCGAGATATAAGCCGACTTTGCTTGGTGGTAAATAAATCTGGGATGGTGTTGGTGGTTGGGGTTGAAGATTAAAAGGCAAATGATTCATGCATGTAAATCCCCTTAATCGAATGTGATAAGAGTATCAAAAGGAAGACCTTAGTGCCTGCATCATTACTTCGTTTGGGGCCTCTAATGGTTGGTTTGTCATGTGATCCTACTTTTCCCAGGGATCCACACCACATGATTAGATGCCATCTTTACATAGGCCTGTTGCAACTCAGAATAATTGCGAAAGACGTACAAGGCATACAGAATCTGTTTCGGGATCTCAGAGACTATAATATCAGGAACATGGGTCACATTTTGGCTTCAGATAGTTGATTTCTTATACTAGCCCTAGGAAAAGAGGCTCTGTTTAAGTCTTAATGTTTAGTTGGTTCATACCAAACTCCAATCAATGTTGGACTTTAAATCCAGGAGAAGCTTTTCTGAAAGCAGGGGAAAAGCAAAAGCTTGAGACAGAGGCCTTGACCCCATCACTTTAATTTTCTTTCTTTTTTGTTCTGTAGGAAAGCTCTGTGGTCAGAATCAAGGTTCCTCGTTTTGGTCCATTATCTTTCACTTTCTCTTTTTCAAAGACTTTCCTGTACCTTAACTTTACCATGATGCCTGCCACTGTTTGACACCCCATGTTTCATCATTCTTGCCCTTCACTCTCATTTTTAAATCCTTGCACGTTGTAATGATGGTGTAACCATGAGTAGAGCCCCATGAATTGGAAATGGGAACCAGTACAGGACTTATGATGCACCCGACGCGAAATGGGACCGTTTTCGACCGAATTCGTCCGGTTGTTTTCATGCACTGTCTATCATTTTGTTAGCAACTTCTGCTGGTTCTTCTTTTCCAAATGGTAAAAACTAAAAGGGATAGCAATCAAGACCTATTCCGCCAATAAGACCGAGGAAGAAGAAATCTTGCCTGCTTTAGGGAAAGGGAGTGGCTCGGTGACCGATATGAGGGATGGAAGTTTTCCATATACGGTGAACTTTATCCCTGGTATGATTATATTTACAATATACGAGTGAGACGACAAAGCTGTTATAATATAGAGCGTTTGCCATGCCGTGGCGGGGCAGGTGGGCCTATGTTTTCTGATCACCTTTACGACCCCGCGTGAAGCAGCGCTAATCAAGCTCCGTGGAGCCCGATTCCGGGTGGTGTGTGTTTCCACCTATTAAACCTATTCCTAGTTCATTCTTTGGATATTTTAGACAGACATTCTCTCTTGAGCCCTCCCTAGGGAATGGTCTACTCCTTTTCCATGGCCATGGACATCCCATACTAATGCCTGGACATGTTAGGAATAGCATATATAGAATACAAGTGTCGCATTCACCTGATAAACTCTTGACACACTGTAACTGGGTAGCAACTGAGCCTCCTCTCTCTCTCTCTCTCTCTCTCTCTCTCTCTCTCTCTCTCTCTCTCTCTCTCTCTCTGTTTTATATGAGGTGGATTTAGACAAGACAAGGAAAGCAACAGACATGGCTGCCAACAAGTTTGCAACCATGTTGCACAGGAACACCCACAGAATTGTAGCCATTCTGGTGTATGCTGTCCTCGAATGGTTTCTCATCTCAATGCTTCTGCTGAACTCTTTGTTTGGCTATCTCATCTCAAAGTTTGCTGACTTCTTCGGCCTTAAGCCTCCATGCCCGTTGTGCTGCAGAATCGGCCGCGTATTGGAGCATGGCAAGAAAGCAGATTACTCTTTTGTCGACGAGGTGTGCGAGACCCATGCTGCTGAGATTTCCAAGTTGAGTTACTGTATAAATCATCATAAGTTGGCCGAATCACAAGGTATGTGCAACAACTGCTTCGCCTCTGGGCCAGTTCCGGACACATCAAACGGAACGACGAGGACAGCTTTTGTCTCTATCATGACGGAGGATACATGCCAGAATGGAGATGACATTTTAAGGTGCTCGTGCTGCAAAGAGAACTTAACCGGAAAATGGCACCCTTCTTGTTTGCTATGGAAGCCTTCTTGGAGCGCTTCGGATGTTATCCAGAAAGGAGGCCTCTTAATAGATGAAATGGTTGATGAGAATGCAGGAACCAAATGTGAACAGCTGAAGAAACCTGATGGACTGCAAAATCAGAGGGAAAGTTTGCGTGAGATAGAAGATCACAATGATGAAGCTGAAGGCGTATCGGAGGAGCATCAGGTACTTTCTGACGTTGATAGTTTTAGTTTTCGAGAAGCATCCGAGGAAGATTATTCAAAGTCCTTGTCGAGTATACTGTGGAATGAAAAGGAAGACACTAATGAGGACATTAAGGATGCTACGTCGGAGGTTGTAGAGAAGTACTCCTACAGCGTGAGCAATAGGAGTCCGACTTCCAAAGGAAAGAGCACAATATCTTGTCATAACGAAGATGATTTACTCAATGCCATTGATCTGCAACACAAGGACTATGATGCTTGCGATTGGCATCGGGTGATCCCTTTGGATCTGATAGATTACTCCACCAATGAAAACACGAAGTTTCACGCCTTGGTAGAGGAACATCTGCGCAAGTGCGATCATCATCACGAGGCAGCTTTCACTTCGAATTTGGTTTTCGAGACCGAAATCGGTCTCTTAGGAGAGTCATTCATAGTGGATGAGAACATAAAGAAGTCGGCCTATGCTGAGATGAAGGAATTGGGAATTTACATGGTTGATGTTGAGAGTGCTTCAATTCTCCCATCTGAAGAGGGGAAATTAGAACACGAAGATGCTTCAGTTGCTCCAGCAGCTCAAAAATTGGAAGCTGATAATGACAAGATTGAAGCAGATGGGATGGAAGAATCAAACAAACCAACAGGTACACATTTAGTGGCATAGTAGGCTTTTGCAGCATCTTACTTCATGTAGTGTCACACTTATTCCAAACTTATCCTATACTGGCCCAAAAACAACAAATCCTTACCTTCCATAAAAGTAATTCATTTTTGGCCAGGTGCCGTATTGAAGGATGAAATGTGTTGCATTGAAATAGCAACAGATCTCACCGTGAGAAGCACAAAAGTTCCCACTTCCGATCAGTCACACCCTCAAGAACTACTTACTTCATTAAAACTCTCGAAAGAAAATTTCTCTCTCGTAAAGGGCCAGAATGTTGAAGTCACCGACATCTCAAGTGAGTTTGGACCTCAGGATGGACATGGTAAGCTTCACATTTCTTTCTAGTGCAAGAACTGAGTACTTTATTGACAAATGTGTAGAGTTGATCTGTAAGAAGATTGTCGTGTAGGCACGCTTCCTCCAGGCACAGCAGATGCAGTAAAGAGTTATGTGCAAGATACCGTGTTGACCGACGAGATTCAAGCAAATCCAATAAATTTCCAGCCAACGGAGCCTGAAGTTGATGAAGAAAAGTTTCCTGAAACACCAACCTCGGTGGAAAGTCTCCATTATTTACACAAGAAATTACTGCTGTCCGAGAAAAGAGAATCTTCTATGGAGGAGTCGTTGGACGGAAGCGTGCTCAGTGAGATGGAAGTTGGTGATGCGGCGATATCCATCGAAAGGCTCAAGACGGCTTTAAAAGCAGAGCGAAAAGCTCTGAGTGCATTATACGCTGAACTAGAGGAGGAGAGGAGCGCCTCTGCAGTGGCCACCAACCAGACCATGGCTATGATCACGAGGCTTCAAGAGGAGAAGGCGGCAATGCAAATGGAAGCACTGCAATACCAGAGGATGATGGAAGAACAGTCCGAGTATGACCAGGAAGCCTTGCAGCTTCTAAACGAGCTCATGATCAAGAGAGAAAGAGAGAAGGAAGAACTTGAGAAAGAGTTGGTCATGTACCGTCAGAAAGTTTCAGATTATGAGGCCAAGGAGAGGATGAGAGCAATGAGAAACAACAGTCCTGAAAATTGGAGCAGTAAGAGCTCGTCCGACTTCGGCAATAATGCAGAAGATGGCGACAATCTATACATTGATCTGAACCGTGAGCTGAGAGACAATGATGCTGGCAACCTCTGTGGCCACCAAGGACTTAATTCCCCCAACAATACTCCGACCGATGAAGTTCTAAACTTGGAGGAGATGGCACTAGATTGCGTGAAGCACATGACTTCACTTGATGACTCCTTGGCAGAATTCGAGGAAGAGAGACTGTCCATTCTCGATCAACTGAAGGAATTGGAGGAGAAGCTTCTCATAATGAGCAGCAACGAAGAGTTCGTGAATGACAAAAACTTGAACGAGCAATTCTCAAACTATGATGAGAACGACTCTGATGAGCATCACAATTTAACTTGCCAAGAACAAAACGGGGTTTTGGACGTACTTCCGAAAGAACCAAATGAAAACTACCATCCTGAAAAGGAGACAATGTGCTTGATGGCGAAAAGACTGCTTCCTCTTTTGGATGCCACAGAAACTGAATATGAAGATGGTATGATTGTTCAGGATCCAGGTGAAAACATCTCCAGCTTTGAGGAGGACGGGAAGAAATTAGCCATCGAGGAGGAGGTCGACCACGTCTACGAGAGGCTACAAGCCCTCGAAGCAGATAGAGAATTTCTAAAGCATTGTATGAACTCCATTCAGAAGGGTGACAAGGGGATGAATCTTCTCCAAGAAATACTGCAACACCTCCGCGACTTGAAGAGCGTCGAGCTCCGTTCGAGGAATATGGATGAGGGCAACTAAGGTGATGATTTGCTTAATCAATCTCCTAATCACGTGTGCTTGCTCTTATATCTTGTTCTCTTCTGTTACGATTTGCTGAATTGCGAAGCAGGAAATTTTGTCACCCGAGTCTGTTCATATGCTTCATCCTCTGGTAATGGCATGTTGTTTGATAGACCTTGGTCGAATTGAGTGGTTCGAGAAAACAAGGTTGCTCCCAATATTAGAGTAAAACTACTTGGCTGTGTTCTTCTACATTGTAACATCAGGAAGAAGTTGGTTTGAATATATCTTTCTGCAGAGTACAACAATCTAAGCCAATATGTATGACTGATCGATCATTCTTTGAGCAACTGAGTCTGCATCGTGAGGTATGACCCTATATTCTTTCTTTTTTTCAATGTTGACTGTAAAAATGAGATGTAAAGCTAGTGATTGCAGCACCAAGAAGCATCTAATTCCGGTAAAGTGGACATTTTTAGCAGAACCAAGAAGTGAGGGACGGAGAAAGAACTGCATTGTAAGCGGCAAGCATGTTGAATGGCCTCAATGACAGCCTTTCATCCTAGAAATTACAAGGCACTTTTCCTCGCGTAGGTGCAACCTGCTAAATCAATCCTAACCAATTTCTTTAGTCAATTGCGAAAGGACAACAAAATCAGACACCAGTTAAATATGTTCTCTCATTATCTCATCATCTCCCGTGATACGATTAAGTAATGTCCATTTTGATGGCTCCCGAGCCCTTCCACGGGTACGGGAAGCAAGCGGTATAAACTAAGCGCATCAAATAAGGGTTGCGGCTATCAGGATCGGCAGATTTTCCTTCCCTACAAAAATTTCCTCTCATCACTATCTGGTGAGCAACTGCAGATGATAAGACCAACTCCTAGTCGAATAGATTCATGGGGCGTACGTTTTCGAACTCGGAGATGGTTGATTCCGGTATGCGCTCTTCCCTTCAGTTGCTAACAAAGTAACGGTCCTACAATGACCGGCATTAGGTTAGATATCAAAACGAAATTCAAGAAACCTTGAATCTCTTGCACCAGCTGCTTCAAATGGCTCTCTCTAGGATAGTGGCCAATCATCCCTCCGAAGGTGAATCATAAATCAAAGTTTTGTCACAAGTAAAGTCACCCAATTGTGGGAAACCTAATCAATTCCGTACTGTGTAGAATTCTGAGTATCTTGTTGAAGCATGGAAAACTTAGCTAAGTTCAAAAGTGATATAGTAACGACTAAATTAGCAAAATTGAATAGTGTATGATTAAATTCGCATCCATAAAATAAGTTTATGACTGATTAGGTAATTTTTCCTGATGTTAATGATAGGAGGTCTAAGATCTTCTGATGTACTTGGTCAGTGGGATTTAGTTGTGAACTTATTCTCCTTTATATGTTATTCAAATGTTCAATTCATGTGTACACAATTATAAGTTGCAAATCTCTTGTTATTATTGATAGGGAAAATTGTCACAAATCTATTGCACTTTTGCCAATTCAGTCCTAAACATTTTACTCGTACCAATTGAATCCTAAATATTTTCATGTTTTGTCAATTGAGTCTATCTGGTCAATTTTGGCTAGAAATCGCTGAAATGGATGTCGAGCCATCTTATGTGGTACGGCCGGCGCCAACGTGAACAATTTTTAATAATATTTTAATATTTTATCGAATTTTTTTATTTTTCATTCTTTTTCTTTGCTTCTTTCTCTAGCTGGTCACCGGGCCTCATCGATGGCCAACGATCGGCCAGAGGTGAGAGTCGGCCAGGTCTGGCCTCGACCTCGCCAGTGGCTGGCTGGGGCGAGCTTCGCCGAAGACCGACAGGACCGGCGGGGGCGAGCCTCACCAGAGGTTGAAGAGGCGAGGCCTGGCAACCGGCTAGAGGAGAATGTTAGCTCCATGTGGCCCATAATAATTTTACATGGGAGGAGAATGAGAAGGAGAGGAAGACCTATTTTCAACTTACAATTTATCCATCAAGACCGTCCGAGGGAGGAAAAGGAGAGGAAGACCTAGTCCCGAATCCGTACGGCCGCAACGATCAATTCAAGGATGGCGGTTACTAAACAAGGTATGTGATTTGAATCGAATCTTTCGAATTTCTAAACCATACATATAAATTATGAATTATTGAATATCTTACTGGTTGTTCTAATGTGGATGAAGCCCAACATTCATCAGCTGATATTAGCCTTACAGAGCAAACAAAAAAGATAGTTTGACTCGACTAAAGCTGACCATAGGAGAAAGGCCAAAGCAAAGACAGAACAAGAGCAAACAAAAAGACAGAAGAAGGCCTGACCAAACTGAACTGAGCCATGGACCAGCTATCGACCATGAAAGCCAACAAGCCTGCACCAGTGATTTCAGTCAGCCTCCGGTGAAACAGCCCAGACATTGCTGCAATTCCTGAACGAACCGTTGGGACACGACAGCGAAAAGATTTATCGGGTTTCGCTCCTGTCGAACATGAGATAATGACATAAACAGTCCCTAAATTTTGATCCAATGTATAATGTGATCTATGAACTTTTAATCTATTCAATATAGTCTCTGAACTTTAACCTATTATGCAATGTGGTCTCTGAACTTTTAATTTGTTCAATGTAGTTCCCGAACTTTCGGTACATGTTCAATATGGTCCATGAACTATATGAAAATGTTCAATGTGGTCCTTCCATTGATTCCAGTTCAGGGACTATATTGAACATTTTCATATAGTTCGGGGACCACATTAAACATGTACCAAAAATTTAGGGACGACATTGAACAAATTAAAAATTTAGGGATCACATTGAACAGTAGGCTAAAATTCAGGGACTACATTGAACAAATTAAAAGTTCAAGGACCACATTGCATATTTGGTCAAAGTTTAGGTACTGTTTGTGTCATTATCCCCTCAAACATCGAACGAGTGCTCATTTGGATAGCTAAATTCGACTTCACGCGCGACCTCCGGCATCCAAATGGTCCGAGATGAACCTTCCGATGAGTGCGCGCGAGCTGCTACGGTTAGCTTCGAGCCATCATCCCGCACTCCGGCGCGTCAGATCCGGCGCGTGCACGATCAGTACGATCCGAGGGTGCCAGATGTACCGGGCCGATACACTCCGGGGCCGGGGCCGGGGCCATGAGGTTTCCTACAAATTACCTGTTCATCGGGATAAATAAAATAAGTAAATTTCTTTTTTTTTCCTGTCAAAGCTCTTGTTGGTGGGTGGGTGGGGGGGACCATGTGACCCTGAGTGATAACTAAAGTGATGCCTCCAAAAATCCTCTCCTATAAATATATTCATTATACACAGAGGAGGATAACCTTTGTGTATTTATATATGTATATAAATATAAATATCAATTTTTTTTCCTGCCAGAAACCTTTGTATTATTTAAATGCACAAAGGGAGACCATACTCTTGCCTGCAAACGCGCCCCCCCCGCCCCCCGCCACGTCATCGATCTGCGCGACCCCCCTCCACAGCGGATCGTGCGCCCCTGGATCAAAGTCGCCATCACGATCCTGGCCGTCCAAACACAAAATCCCCCCAGCAGAAATTTAAAAGAAAAAACCAGAAATTTGTAATTTAATGCCCTGAAAAAGAAAATCCACTTCCCTGCAAACTCTTCTTTTTGCCCCGGTCTTTGCTTTTCTTTTTTTTTTTTTGGCTTTTTCTCGGGTCTAAATCTTACTGTTCTTGAGGAACAACAACCTCTGTGGGGGGGGGGGGGGGTGTTGGGGTGTAGCTGCTGCTCGGTGGGGACTGTCTTAGGATTTTCGTAGCTCCACACGGTCTCTCTCTCTCTCTCTCTCTCTCTCCTTCTGTCTCAGAGAGTGTGTGTGTGTCTCTCCCTCACTCTCTGTGACTTTAATGGCTGCTACAGAGTTTAATAAGCCTCCACCACTCCCTCCTTATCCTGAGGTAACATCAACCCACCCTCTCCCTCTCTTTCTCTCTCTAGCCCTTTTATGGGAATCAGCAGAAAGACCAAGGATTTTCTTGTGCAAAAAACCATGTCTTTTGGGGGTTTTGTACGGTGTGGAATCAAGGATGAGTGGCTGTGGGACGGTTTGGTTGCCGTCATTTCGGGTGTTCTTGGGTTTTGGGTATCTTTTCCTGTGATGGGTCTGTGGGGAAATGCTCGAGCTGAGGAGTTTTCTTGATCTTAGATTTTGACACCTGGTTCCACATGGCATTCCTTGGTTTGGTGTACTTTGTTTGATTCGATTTAACTGCTCAATTTCTTGATATGCTGACAATTGGTTTGGGTGGATGTCACAATCTGGATCCGATTGGGGGGCGCGCTAACTAAATTGAGCTAAGGTTTCGTCCACATTTCAGGAAAGAAAATATAAATCTAGGGGAATTCACTGGGTTGATCCAACCCTAAACCTTTTCGCCTCCAAGATTGAGGTCCAGCTAATTGATTTTTATTTCCACCCTGATTCTTTCCTTTCTTGGTAATTGAGAAATGCAGTAGTTTTTTTGTTAATGGTTGGGATCCTAGAGAAAATTTTTCCTGTTTGTCTGAACCCCTGTCATAGAGATGATGAAGATCAAGATTTTTACTTTCAGTTTTGCTTTCTCTATCTAATGACACCCTTTGATTCTTCTGTCTCTTTCCTTTTATTTTCTATTTTGAGATGTGTCATTACAGGTGATTATAGCGGCAGTGGACGCATTGAGGGAGCCCAATGGGTCCAACAAGACATCAATCTCGAAGTACATAGAATCCAAGTATGGAGAGTTACCAGCAGGTCACTCCCAGCTCCTGTCGCACCACCTCAACCGGATGAAAGAGAGCGGGGAGCTCGTCTTCTGGAAGAACAACTACACGATACCCGACCCCAACGCGCCGCCCCGCCGCGGCCGTGGCCGGCCGCCGAAGCCCAAGGAGCCCGTACCCGCCCCAGCCGCCCCGGCCCCGGCGAGGCCTCGGGGCCGCCCTCCGAAGGACCCGAGCGTGCCGAAGCCGGTGAAGCCCAAGGTCTCCACGGGCAGCGGGAGGCCGAGGGGTCGGCCGAGGAAGATGGCAAAACCGACCGGAGGGTTGGGTGGATTGACGGAGGCGACGGTGTCTGCTGCAGGGACCAGGAGGCCGAGGGGCAGGCCCCCGAAGGTGAAGGCGCCGCTGACTGAAGTGAGTGTAGAAAATTAGGATATGAGACAGTTTGCTCTGTGGGTTTCTTATGTCTGTTCAGGTCTTCTCTAGAGTTGGTCTTGGCATTAGGCAGTTGACTAATTTGTCTGTGTAACTCCAATGTGCAATGTTGATGTGGTTTAGGTTAGTAGCAGTAATGACAATCGGGGAAGTCTATTTCCACGGTCTGATTTGTAACTCTGTAGTTCTCTGGTGTTATCGTAGGATGTTCACTTTTGTTTTGCTCGTCTAGTGGGATTGTTCTTGTCCAATATGTTTCTGGGTGTTGTTCCATGAAACGATCGGTTGTGGATCTGCAGTCTCAGTTCATTTGACTTGGATGTTTGTGAGGAAAGTTGGCCGGGCGAGTCAAGCCACACTGTTTGATGATGATGACAGAGCGATTGCGAGAGAGCAGACAGGGCACGAATTGCACAGGCAGACGTTGACGTGATTCTCGACGGTGCTGATAATAAGGTGTTAACAGCAACCTCGCTCCGTACCCACTGATCTGTCCCACTTTAGCAGAGATTTGACGATGTCCGTACGAGGAACTGTTCTTGTTGGTAGTGGCGTGGCCTTGGAGTCGGCTATGAATGGTGTCTTGTCGTTCAGGATTTTAGGCCCACTTCGCGAGAGTATTTGGGGCCAGCATTGCTCGGTTGTGAAATCAGCAGTGAGCTGCAATCTTAGCAGAGGCATGTTACAACAAGAGCGAGTCTTAATCTGATCTTTAAAACGATTACACAGTCTGTGTTGTAAGCAAAAGCTGCTTGATTTCGAGATATCGGTAAACGGCTTATCAGCATTTTCTTATCATGGGTCTGGAATCACATAGGTCTTTCGAATGGTTTCGGATTAACATGTCCATGCGTTGATAGGTCATTTTGATTCCGCGACCTAATTATGGTGGACAACTAGGGAAAGTTCTCATTCGCAGATTCTAATTCCTAACCCAATGACAAAGATTGGTTTTCAACTCCTCTACACGCGTGTCGTGACCTACCCTTGGGATGTGCTACCTAGGGGTTCGGCTAATGGATTATTAAGTCTAAATCTAATTCGGGCCCTCCCAAACCCTATCAATTCGCGATTTAGATTTAAGTTCTTAACATGCAAATGTTTTCATGCTGTAGTCGTCACTAATCTATTTTACGGTGGGTCGATTAGAAATCCAAATAAAACATAGGGAGATATGTTTTATTCCTACGAACTAGAGATTTTGAATTCTGGGACTTGGTTACGCTAGAGCGAGTCTAACGCCCTTTCGGTACCTTTTATTTTCAAAAAAAAATGTTTCAGCAGGTAGCCTGGATCTATTTTATTACCTATTCACTAACATGCAAGGTGACCATGCGGGTGTTTAATCCACCAATTTAACACCCAGAAAATAGTGAATAAATTACTAGTTTAGGATAACAACGTACGTTTTAGCAACGTAAACATCTGCATTGTTAGCTAGAAAATCACACAGACAGTCCTATTATGATTTCTAATTAATAAGCACTTCAATCAATGTGTTCTTTAGGATTTTCTCTTTATTTAAATGAAAACTAACCTACATGTGATTAATGAAACCTAACATGCAAACTATATGATGCGACGATATAACCTACTTCTAATGACGGGCAAATGATGCATTTTTTTGGGTTTTTTCATTAAAATTCGGAATAATAAAAATGCCTAAAATAACATGCAATCTATTCTAGAAAGACACTCTAACTTATTCTAAAATGACTTCCTTTTGGATATTTTTTTATGAAAATTCGAAACCAGAAAATATCCTAAATAATCCATTAAGACTAGAATAATCACTAATTTAAACTAGGAAATAAGCTACCCTAAATACCAATTTTAATTAGAAAAATATCCTATCTTTTAGATATACCCGGGATACCCTAAACATGCAATATCTCTAACTTAAATCCTAACTAATATCTTTGGATTTTCTTTTATTTCAAAAATAAAGTAATCAAACAAAGGATAGCAATCGCACTCAAACAATCCACTCAATCTGCAAAGTTTATTTATCACGTTCAAATTAGGAAAACGATTCGAGCTAACGATCATATCTATATGGTCATAGATATCGATAGAAAGCCGACTGTTTGAATTTGGAAAGCAAATAAGATATATTATCGTATCGAAGTGGTTATTGATAAAATAACAATCTTCCGCACCGTCGTGTATTGTAAAACTTCAAGATGTTTGGAGAAACTTTTAAGAAGGAAGTGTTTGGAAATTCGGATTACAAAAGTCTCCACAAAAATAATAAAACGAAATGGGTACAGAAGATCCGAATATGGGTTTTCCAGAACAAGAGTAAAATTGGTTCCGATTGGAGAACCACCAAACTTAAATCATAACCATTTCTCAGGGACTGAAATTGAAGATGTTACACGTATCGTACCTTAGGGTTAAGGTCAAATAGTCGTTTAGGTATGTTGCTAAATTAGGAAAAATTCCTAATTTGGGGTATTTTTGAATATTGCGGATATAGCACACATTATCCCTAAAATATCTAGCAATCCACAGAATATTCACAAAATATTTAAAATATCCGAAAATCAAGAAATTAAATATTTAAAAATATTCGGATAACGATCTTACCTAATTTGTGGATATTTCCAATTCGAACTCGGATGGGGCTCAGAATTGTGGATTGGGATGATGGCCGATGACGAGGAATCGACGACGGCGGGACTGGGACACAGCGGCAGCATGGGCTTGGGCCTCGGTTCAGCGGGCAGCAGGGGCGTCGGGCACGGCCGGGGACGGCTTGGCAAGGTTGGGCGCGGAGCGGCAAGGGTAGCGGCAGGGAGATTGGCAACAGGGCTCGTCGGGTGCGGGGCTTCGGCGGCGTGGCAGGGGCACGGCCAGGCACGGGCAGGCGCGGCTCGAGGAGTGGCCGCGAGAACCGGTCAAGAGGGAGCAGCAGTAGGCGGGCTGGTGTGGCAGGGCACATGGGCACGGGTGGCCGAGTGATGGACGTAGTCGGCCGAGCTCGCCGGCGCGGACGGCGACAACGGCATGGGCACGCGCATGAGCGAAGCTCGGCCGGTACCCCCCAAGCGCTCCCCCCATTCCAAGGAGTATAACGACATATTTATAATCTACCTAGGTTAATTGACCAAGCTTTTATAATATAATGAGCTTTTTTAACCTGATTTTTCTATTTAATTCCTCAGTGGACTGAATTATTTCGGGCTTTTCTTTAATTAAAGTTTAATGGGTTGATTTGAGCTCAAATTAAGACAACCTAGATCGCTTTTACCCTCAAAATTTTCGGTCCCTATCTCCTTAGCTTGGCTGAGTATTGCTCAATGTGCGAGCTAGACTCGCGAGGCTGACTTCAAGTTCATTCGCCACTACAGGCCTAATGCATAATGCAATTATATGGGTTTAAATACTAATTCAAATACTTCTAATTTATATGCAATTTAACTAATTTTTTCTAGGGACCGGGATCGATCCTTAATTTTTATGCAATGAATGATAAATTGGGTCTCCAAAATTTAGGTGTCAACAATGCGTAGGAAAAGTTCTTTCATGATTCGGGTGTATGTGAGTCCAATTCATCTAAGTCACTGATATTGATAGATTTCACATGATTTAATGGTTGGGATGCACTGGGTTCATATGCACACAGTGCACCCAAGAATGTCTTCTTGCACAGGCTGGACTTTGAAAAAGTAGGGGTTTTAAAAAATACGAATAGGACCAATGCCGATCGAGGCACGCCAAGCCTGACACATTATCCTGTCGTGTTGTGCTAGGCACGGTTGGTTATAGCTCGATTTTCAAAATTTTTTTAAAGTGTTCTTAGTTTAAAAGGAAAAAAAAATACACTTTATGTTTCAAATAGTGAAAAAAGTAAAAAAAAATCGAGGAAAGTCAATGAAAACAATCAATCAGTTAAACCAAATTGAAATACAAGCACATCTCCAAAAAAATTGGATAAAAAAAATTAAACTTGGTGGCCCTAACGATCGCACACAAATTAAACTAAAAGAGAATGTCTGATAAATTTGGTGTTTTCGCCGTCACATCCCTCACCATGATTCAGATGATACGACGTCATTGTTGTCTTCTTGTTCATGTTGGTTACGTTCGTTTGGAGTCAATTAAACAATCATGGCCAACGACAACCATTTTTTAATTTCTCGCATACAAGCTGGACTTATTGTCTTTCAGGATTCATTGGCTAGTACCGAATGTTAACTCAAATGATACCATAGACAATGGTGGGGTCCGTAAGTCCCGAGCCATGTTGGAAAGAATCGGAAAACTAGTCACTCGCCCCTTCCATCGCTTCATAATGTCGATTTGTCTTCGCTAACTCTTCTAATATATTTGAAGTAGTGTGTTTCCATGTACGTCTCCAACTTATTAGTAGATGAAGACGAAAATTAGTGAAAGGTTGTGGGGTGTTTTCTTCTTACGAAGCATAGACCATACAAGTTTCTAGGCACAATGAGGGGCGCCATCTCCGTTTATGGGTGAAGCTCGTCATATCAAATCGACTGTTGTGTGCAGCGTACATATTCCAGAGCCTACTCATCACCATCGCCAATATCGGTTCCACTCGGGCTTCCTCACCCAGTCCCAACAAGGAGAGTTGCGGGCCCTTCCACCTTGAACCTCGGACACAAGGTAGTGGATGCCAAAAAAAACAGGTGGAATGTCCTGGTGATATTTGAGGGATTTCGCAGTATTTTGCCACTGCTACTTTCGTTTAGAAAGGGCTCACCCTCCTTGTTCGTTGATTTCATGCATAAAAACAGAATGGCTTAGTTGCTTGAGTAATTATTGCTGGCGCTTGAAGCATCCATCGCGTCTTAGAAAACTTGAAAGACGTCCCCAAAGACTTCGATAATCCTCCAATCTTGTCGTGTCAATGGCGGGAAACCGCCATTTTCGCTCGAATGGTAGGTAGAGCGTCAACACACCCATCTCCTCGCACGTCTTCTCCAATATCATGGTATGTTGAATTCCACCTCCTTCGTACGTCCTAAGGGAACTTTTCTACTTGTCTTCCCTGCATCACGTGCGAGAACTCCAGCTCTCAATGCCTTAGTGGGTGGATCTAATGTATTAAACCGACCAGGTATGTTTGCCATAGAATCGTGAAGTCTGCGGATGTCGTCTTGCATGCACAAGCTAATGCAGTGGCACACGCACCACACAAGGAAGGAAATATCATTACAAACAGAATTTATCTATTAGACTAGAGGGTGGATCAGGTGGTGTTCATGTTAGCATTATCTAGCTTGATGATGAAGATTTATCAGAGATACCAAACTCATTGACAGCTTATTAATTCGATAGCTACATTTTGGAAATCATACGAAAATATTAACTTCGTAAATGTAAGAGCTCGATTATGTTATTCACATGCCTCGTTGACCCAATGGCCAATGACGACACAGTACGTACAATTCAAAGAACTAGTCGATACATCAAAAGCCAAACAAACTCGAAAGTTACACTTCAACAATAGATTCACCAACGTCGTCATTTTCTCTTTGTGTAGTGACTTCTAGCTTGTGGAGTTTGTTCCTCACAAAACAGGCTTGAACTGAGGTTGCACGACTGTCTTTGAGCAGTAGACCAAGTAGGGATCTTCGACAAGGCTAAAGGATTGCTCGGCGAAAAGACAGCAATATGCAAGCTTTTGCTGATTCCTCACGCCATCATGCTTGAACAGGCTTCCGGTATGCGGTGTTGTACTTCAAGAGCTCCCCCGCCCGTGGACATCTCTTCCTCATATAAACATGGGTGCCTCCTCAAGTGACCCATCCCACTTGACGATTAACCAACAAATTCTTTGCCACATAGAGTAAAAGTGGCCTTTTCGAGACGGTCGGCATCGATCTCAAGTAGGATTGTCCTCCAAACATCGGAGGTTCTTCTCTATGAAGCCGGCACCCGACTTGCTTAGGGCTCTTCGAGAGTACGGGTATTGTCTGGGGAATCCTCTTGGCAAGGACTAACTTCCGATGCACGCCCGTGCAATCCTCCAAAGCATAGGACTGTTGTGTCTCGTTGTCGTTGAATTCGGCTAAGTTTTGGGGTTAGAGCCGGCACGCATACGTTGCCGTTGTTGTACTCACCGGACAAGTCCCAAGACAATTGCAAGGTGAAGTCTTAAGTTTGAACCACTAGGGGTTGCCCCAGTGGACACCCTTCTCACTTGCGAAGGGAGAGACGGGGAGTTCGCTTCCCCACCTTCTCCAAGGGGCTAGGGGTGGGGACACGTAATTTTAAGTGCGGGTTTTGACTCCCACGCTCTGCAAGAGGTAGAGCAAAAGTCTGAAAGTGAGATGCGAGGTAGAGTAGGAGTAGGAGTAGGACCGACAAAAAAGAAGAAGAAGAAGTCTGAAGTTGAGTTATAATGATTGGACAAATTGTTTCTGTTGTTATATATTATGGACACTATTAAAGACATTGTTTGAAGACATTGTTTGAGAAAAAAAATTTAAGAAAAGTGAAAAAAAATAAGAAAGAAAGAGAAATAGTAATAGAAGTCGGTTTTAAAGTATTTAAAAATTGAGATGCATTTGCAATATTCCTCAAGTTTAACACTCTAAACAAATTAAATCAAAATAGATATTAAAATAGAAATAAATTACTTTGGAGTTTACAATCTACCTTTTGACAAACAGTCTCCATCTATGTATATAATTTCCATTTCTCAAACAAACGGTTGAGGTCAGATTGATGAGACTTTAACATTTCCAAAATTTTTTTTAAAAAAAAATACTCGAGCACAAAAGAAGAATCTAAGTCTTCAATCGACGACTCGATCAACAGAGGCCGGGTAAGAAGCTAGAGGCAGAAAAATCACTAACGTGTTGAGAGCTGCTAGTCCACAAATCTAGTTGGTCGACAAGATAACCCAGTTTTAGCCGACAGAGGATATCGGCATTGTCTTGAAGCAAGGTGTCGACAAAAAAAACAATCAACACCTATCGGGCCATGATCTATGCAATTGTCGAGCAACTGTAACCAATACAACAGTTAAGTCATGGAGCCGACAATTTCAAATAAAACCGTCAAAGGAGCAACTGTCAAGAAGTGGGAGTCGATGCAATTGGCCAGGAAGTGGAGCCAATGATTCCGGGCGTAACCGACAACAGTAACTGCGAAGAAGTGAAAGCGATGCAACCATTGAGCAACAGCATCATTAGTTTCAAAATAACCATTTTGTTGATAAGAATTTCTAGATTGTAGCAGCCGAGTCGATGGTGTTTCATTTTCTTGTTAATTGTAAACTGTCAATATTAGGTATACTTGAGTTCTAGTTTGAATAAAGGACAGCAAATCAATCGAAAAAGCACCCGTTGATCATCTTCACTTCTACATCATTTTTACATTTCCAGTCCCTTCGACATAACCGGCAACCATCGTTCCCAATCTCAGCATCTTAGGTTTCTCGTGAATAGACCTGTCAAACGGGTAGGTCGGGTCGGGTCGGGTCGGGTTGGGTTTTGGTCGTGTCGAAAATGGTCCGACCCAAATAGATCAATTTAATCTGTTTTGACCTATTTCCATGTAATGCAAATCTAATGACCCATACCTGACCCTACCGATATTCAGCCCATATCCAACCCGAACCATATTGCTAAAACATTTCCATATTTAACTAAATTTAGGAAAACTCGAACCCAAACTGATATGAGATTGCGAAGTGAGTGAGGGCAATATTAAGTGAAGGCGGAGAGATGAATTGACTTTAAATAAGTTGTAAACTCATTTACGATCCATTTAACATTTATATTATGTTTATACCCATTTAGTGATTATAACTAAATCATTTATTACCCATTTGCTGATATGTGAGTTAAGAAATAGGTTTATGATCCATTTTGACAGGTCTACTGGTGATTCACATTTCCTACCCGAGGATCATCAAAAGACCCTTCGCACCCCCTTGTCGACTTACTTATCGGTCCGCACGCTTCGAAAAGACCGTTGGGAAATGTCGATGAAACCCCGTGCGCAATTATCTTCCAGTCATGTCAACTTTTCTTCAGCCTTGACCAGAGTTGACCTGATGATGCCTTCGCGAACAAAAGGAAGAGCATCAAAAGGAAAGGGAAGTTCCTACCTTGTCACTGCCCAAAAGGAAGAAGCCGTGGTGCTTCGGAAAGTGGCTCATGTGATGGAAAGTTTTACTTGGTCCTTAAGAGAGAGGGAGAAGAGTGAAACAGTGCTCGGTGGGGAACAGCTTCTCAAATAGAAATGTCATCAAATATATTTCTCTCAAGGCGATTGATATCCATAAACTAAAAGTGAATAATTCCTTAATTTCAACATAAGGAGAAAAATATAACGGAGTCAATATTATAGGTAAGAATCCCGATAAAAAATAATTAAATACGAGAATAATTAGTCGAGGATGGAGTCTAATATTTATACAACCGAAGCGGTTTCTAGTTGCCGGAACCGCAACCGGTCTCTCATTTTTCGTCCGAGACATTCTTGCAATGCATTATTAGTGCAAAGTCGAAGACTTTAACATTTTTTTCGAAAATCGATGTATATACTACTAATTTAAGCTGAAATCTGGGAGAGCTGGTCTCACTTTCAATTTCCATTATTACCCTTCCTCGCAAACAAATTCATCGCGAGGGTACCAATCGAAACATCCGGGTTGACCGTGTAATTCGGACATTTCCTTAGTTTTAGTTAACTCACGCACTATCCATTAATTAAAAATCGCGCTCGAGATATATCCTCAACGGTAGTCTTATACATGTGGATTCAAACCGATGAGAAGATTGCGTCAAACCAGGTAAAACCTACTTGGATCGAGATTTCCTTTAATAGCTAATGCTCAGGATCTATTCTAAGCGGTACTATATATAGGGTGGATTCGAACCGGTGGGAGAAGATTAGGTTAGACCGGTCAAAACCTCTTAGAAAAACGGTGGAATTAGAATGATATAATTATGAATTTTAAAAAAATCAAGCGTGATGATGATGCTGATATAACTCTATATAATTTCTATTTCGGGATAAAATAATAATAATAATATGTACGGAATTAATCCGATCAATGATGGGGAAACTTCGCTAAAACGCGTCGTCGCTAAAAAAAAAAGAAAAAAGAAAAAACGCGTCCTCAAGCCGCGCTATAAAAGCGAAAAAAAAGCGAAAAAAAAGAAGCGAAAAAAAAGCAGGAGGCATTCGATCCGCCGGAAGTGAAACCAGAGCAGAGCGAGGTGAACGCAAGTTTCGCCGCCGCCATCGCCCTCCCAAATTCCGCCGCCGCCGCCGAAGGAAACCCTAAGTCTCCGGCGACTGTCATCACCCTCACCGGCCGGCCGGTCGGCAATGGATCCTCAAATCTCCTGATTCGATCTCGCTCCATCGGTTTCCGTCGCTGTTCTTCTCCGTTCGTAGCCGTCTCTCTCCCTCTCTCGCTCTCGGTCTCTCTGTGTGCGCGTGTGTGGAGAGAGCTCTTTGATCGCCGCCGGTTCGGTTTCAGGTAATTCCTTGGTGGTTTCGATTGGTGTCCTAGGGTTTCCGCGCGTCCTGATGCGCGCCCTTTTTGTTTGTTTTTTTTTTTGGGGGGGGGGGGGGTCGCGGTAGAAGTTTAGTGTTGTTGATGAAGATGGGAGATCCGGAACTTGCGGTGGATTTCGCAGCTTGTTGTTCTTTCGAGAGTGTTTGTTCGGTCCGAATGCTCTGCTTGAGGATATGTTGGGTTTCTTTCCTTTAGGGCTTTTGCGAGTTTTGCTGGCGTGGTTCCATGGTTTAACCGACAGGCTGTGTGTCTGAATCTGGGGAAAGTTATGTAGTGTTGGTCTAATCGCTGAGATGCTGAAGCGGATTGATTTTTCTGAGGGTGCTATGGTTGGAACGTGCAATGTGTGGGGGGCTGCTGCTTTTGATTTCTTTCGTCGCCAATTGTGGATTGGAGGCTTCGTTTTACTTTGTTATGCTCTATAAGTAAGAAACAAACAAAGATGTTAGATTTCTATCGCTGTATGTTGTGATTTCAGTAGTCTCAGAATCATGCAATCATTGAGCACAAACGTCTTTTTAGCCGTCGCCTTAGTTGACTTGAAGTGACTGTGTGAATTCGAGCTAATAGTGTTTCTTGATTTTGGGACTGGTTCCCATATTTAACACGTTGAGGTCTTAATTAATGTATTCTTTCTGGTTTTCCTTTGCAGGTCTTGATAGTTGGTTTTCCCGGGAAGTTTTTGCACTACTATTTACATGGCTACTGCAGTTGACATGTCGCTCGATGATATCATTAAGAACAGGAGAAACAGTGACAGATTTAGAGGACGAGGTAGGGCTCGTCATGGCCGTGGAGCTGGGCCAGCTGGCAGGTCATTTAACGGTGGGAGAATGATGGCTGCAGGTCGGAGAGGTCCTCTTGGCGTCAATGCCCGGCCTTCTTCTTTCACCATTGCCAAGGCAAGCTCGGATCTGTGGATGTTTGACTGAGATTCTGATAGTCTCGTATAATTTCAAATATAAGAGGATCTATTCGTGCCATAGAAAATGAATAATGAGATCTCTTCTTTTGCATTATAAATGAAACCTCAAGAGGATCTCTGAACGTATTATATGGGGAGCAGCCAAATTTGGTAGATCATTAATGTGCTCTTCCGACCTGTTGCTTTCGACCAGTGTGTTATTGATGACACTAATAGTGGGATATTGAGGTTTATGTTTTGCGGAATGTACGGCGAAACTCATGCAGAAGTCTTGGTTCCACCACTACATAGTGCTTTCGCCACCTTTTCTAAGGGAGCTTTATCGTGTATTCTTGGAATGGAGCTCTACTTAGTAGGATGACATCGCCTATCTGTCGGCCCAGTCGTCAATATGAATATATAGATCAATTTTTGTGTAGAATTGATTTACTCTTTGATGAACGGTTGTTTAAAGGGGGAGTTATGGATTTTCTCGCTATATGTGCAACATCTCGGTGCAAGATTCGGTTTTCTTCCAGTTTATGGGCTTTTGCGAAGGAGCTTCCTTCCCTTAACTTCAGAACTGGAGCACCTGTGGCATAGCACCAATCCATATCATGTGGTCCAGTTCCATCATTCCCTACATCCATCTGTTGGCTTCATTTGCCGCTTTTGATTGCTGGTTGTTTAAGCATTGTCTAATGGTTTCTCCCCCATTAAGAGTTAGTTTTATTTTTGTGGAATTTCTCTCATAATGAACTTGAAGAAGGTGAATTATCTTTGGTCATTGGCTGATGCATTCCTTTGCTCCATTTCGCTTCCTTTTTCATTTGCATTCATCAGTCTACTCGCCGAACAAGGAACTTCCCATGGCAGACTGCTTTGTTTGAAGATAGCATTAGAGCTGCTGGTATACAAGGAGTAGAGATTGGAACAAAATTATATGTTTCCAACTTGGACTATGGAGTGACAAATGAGGATATAAGGGTATACATCGAGCCATGCAATTTTGTCTTATGCTTCGGTATCGGTTCTAGATAATCTCTTAATACTGGCCATGGACCTCAGGAACTGTTCTCTGAAATTGGAGATGTGAAGCGATATGCAGTGCACTATGATAAAAATGGTCGCTCCAGTGTAAGTACCTCATAGATGTCCTATGCTTTATTTTTCACAAAATTATTCTTGATTTGAAGTCATGAGCTGTCTGTTGCATTAGTTTGCAATTCATTTGTTTTTACCAATTGAAGCCCATACATGGCACTTGATTGAAATTTGACGAAAGAACAAGATGTTCTTTGTTATGCTTGAAGAAGATCTCACGTTCATAGTGTGAGTGTATTAAGTCTTATCTCCAACATTTCTCCTTAATTTTGGCATTTATTTGTTCAGTGATTCGTCCCTGATGGGGGATGACTATGAAATTTATTTGTGCAGAGAAAAGAAAACACACGTTAGTTGTCATTTAACACGACTTTGTTGTTTCACTCTTGATTCATGCAATAAAGTTCGCCTATTTTTGGTAAAATAACTTTCTCGGATAATTTGATGGTTCTTAGAGAAGATACGTCAGAGACTTCATTGATATGTCAAATTTACATTTTCTACACCTTGATTTTTACTTTTTACAGCCTTTGTGTCATTACCCAATTTTGTAATTTGAAATTTTTGTGGGAACACATTACCAGTGCCTGTGCTGGCATTTATTTTGAGTAATAAATCTGGCTTTGCTTGCTTAAATTTGGTCATGCTAAATGTTTTTCATTCGAAGAAGTTTTGTGGGAGAGCCAATGATTGAGTACAAAATTATGATAAAGATTGTTGCTAAATGTCAAAGAACAAAGGACGAGTTCTACATAGTCACACATTTTTAGCATATCGAAAACATTGCACAAAACATGCTGTAGTTGTTAACAAATGATTTAGTGAATTTAGTGAGGGATAAGAAAATCTTGTCTGATAGGTAAGCTGTATCAATGTGTTGGTTTGATGTGAATCTGATGTTGTCGTGCGTACTTCACCTTAATGCATGAAGGTTCTAATTTTGTAACTTGTTTTGGGTTTTGTAGCTTTACATCTTTCAACATTGTCTTGTTAATAATGTCTGTTACTTCCTATAAGGAACAAGGAATGGGCCTTGTGGTCCATGTCTGTGCCACCCTTTCCTAAACCCAAAATATCTCGATCCATTTCTTACCTTCCCTCTTCCCTTGCATTCATGTAAGGAAAGATAAACTTGTTGCTGCTTGTTAACTCTGATGCTCATTTTAATGATGGATCTGTTCCTGCCAACAAATGTTCTGATTTTGTTAAAATGTTAATGTGAATCAGGGCTCAGCTGAGGTCGTTTACACCAGAAGAAGTGATGCATTTGCGGCTCTCAAGCGGTACAACAATGTTCTTTTAGATGGGAAACCTATGAAGATTGAAATCGTGGGTGCTAATGCTGACATTCCTGTCTCTGCTCGTGTTAACGTGACGGGAGTTAATGGGAGGAGGAAGAGAACAGTTGTTATGACGTATGTGATCTATTCTTCTCTCATCTTTGTCAAAATGACTTTCAACTTAAAATGCTCATGGATTTAGGGCTTGTCTAGATAGGCTTTTGCTTTTTGTTTTTTATTTAATTCAAATCTTTCGACGGATGTACTTTGGCTGATTCTTAGCTTGTAACACCTTCACAATATACAGATTTTGACTCATATGTTCACATATAATTTTTAATTTTTTGAAATTTGGATAATATTTTAAATTTTGGTTTGAAAAGTTTCTTTTTACTTTGACTGAAGCATAAAGAAAGATGCCCTTAATGTGATAGGATTTTGATAGCAAGTGCCCTCAGTCACTCTTTTGATACTAAAGGAAGTTTGTTACTTTCAATGCAGAGTCTCTCTCTTGTTATGTTTAATAAATGCATTGGGAATTGAAACTTTTTTTTTATCAAATATAATTAACGAGCGCCTAGGGGACCTTGTTTACAAGGCCCAATTTGAAATTTTCAGCTTGCTTTGTACTACTTTTCCGCTTTATATGAATGCTCCTTTACTTTCGATTAGCTAGCTTAATTGTTTTTCGTAAAGATTCTTTAGTCTAGTCACTGTGTCAGAGATTTTTTTCCTTTCTTGTTTCCCCTTTTTCGAGGTAATAAAAAAAAATTTATCTGGGAAGGAATGCTTGGCTAATACCTGCAACAAGCCATATGAGTCTGTGTAAATATAGCTCTATCATTTTAAACTGGCATACCTCATCATTGGCCAAAAGAAAAAATCAAGACCCCATCTATGACAAAGTTTTCTGAAAAAATAACTTATGAACGTGTCTCTATAAATGTAGAAGCAACTGAACAACTATAAGCAGAATGATGGAACTTTCCTTTTCTGGCACATTAAGCATGATGCACAAGCATTCAAATTAAGCTTCATCAACAACTAGGCAAAGTATTTTCCTTTGGGGTCCCGCCCAGTGAACTTTCATCTGCCAATCATTGGTTTCTGTTGTTGTCAGCTTATCCTCGCAAACCAATAACAAAGTTGTGTTTGGAGATTTTTGGAGAAATTTTTACCAACTTAAGTACCAACAGACGTATTTTGAATAGGATCCTAAGCACTGTTAATACTAGGATCACAGCTAGATTTTTTAAGAGCCCTCTGTACTGTCTCCAGCTAAGTAATCATGCTACAAAATACCGTCGAAAGCTTTATGAATCTGAGTCATATCATCCATCTGATCTCGCCTTCAGCTATTTCCAAGCATTGTCTGCCATCATGGAATTACCTTGTGTGGTTGAAGGCATGTGAGCTTTTGCTTCTTGCTGAGTCTGCCCTCTCATCCAATTCTCATTTCCGCACTCTTTCATTGGAGACAATCAGGATAACTGGTTTGCCCTTGTATTCTTGGTTTTTTGTACATTTTTACCATCATATTATCTTTGTTCAATTGTAAAATTTGGTTGCGATGCTACTGTTTTATAGATAGAGATGATGTCCATTTTCTTTACTGCTTTGAAATTGTTGAATTATATGTTTTGTCTTTGGTGCTGTTCTCTGGCGGATGACTTATACATAGAGTGATGCAGGCCAGGGCGAGGTGGTGCTAGAGGTCCTCCTGTTGTAAATCGAGGGACTGGGTAAATTCTCCATACTTTCTCCGTTAATGAGCTTTATTGTGAGATGCTTATGTTGTGGCATCAGGCTGATGATGTTTAGTTTCGGGTGTTCTTGTGTGCTTCTCTTTTGAGGGCGATGGAGATATAGAAGGCTAGTCATATATATAGCATACCACTAGGAGATTGCACCTCTAGTTAAACTTGAGGTGTCATGACTAGATTCAGGATATAAGTTCAGGTGATAGCTGTGGAAATTCAGAATCAAAAGTTGGATCTTAATGGAACCTGCTGGCTGCCATATTCTAGGCATTTGAATTGGTTATAGGGGCTGAATAGGCATCTTGTGCGACCTTTAGTTTTGCAGCAACTTTGCTCAGTCAAATAATATGTTACACTTGGTGAACTTGTGCAGCAGAGGCCGTCGTGGAGGTTTTGGGAATGTTCGTGGCCGTGGCCGTGGCCGTGGCCGTGGACGTGGACGAGGCCGTGGCCGTGGAAACCCACCTGTTGAGAAATCTGCTGATCAACTTGACAAAGAGTTGGACAATTATCATACAGAGGCCATGAACACTTCTTGAGCTGAGCTTGGCGAACTGATGCATCAGAGTTATAGTTGTTGCGTTTTTCGGTTTTAGTTGTAAAATGTAGTCGCTAGTTTTCTGGATGGAGCAGTAGTCGGGAACGTGGTCTGGCTGGATTTTCGTAGTGTGCTTGAAATCAGTCTCTGTTTATATGTAAGATTGGATTCGTGATTTGGATCTTTTGGAATTAACTCTTTGGTTGCAATCATTTGTGCTGCTTGTTATCAAAATGTCGGATGTCAGGATACGGTGATAACTTTGACCGTATGATCGGATGTTCTTATAACGTTAGGACGGGTAATATTGCTTCACTGTATGGTTTCTCTGACGTGCCCAGCGAAAAATCTGCTGTGCCATCAACGGGGCGGATGAACTCACTGTTCATGGGTTGAGAAAAACTCTGCGGGGGAACCAATCACATGTCCGCGGGAACAATGCTGCCCTAGGTCGTGATGCTGATATGAAGGCATTTCCAGTAATTGCTCGTCTGGGGTGGAAATTGCAACGTCTCTGTTCTGCCCATTGCCGCCATATTTTTGTGTCGTGTTTCCACGAGTTTTGCTTCTGATTACAAGAAAAAGGACACACGGCTTGTGCTAACTTTGCATGTCTGTGTTTGTGGCCGTGACAATGTGGTCCGTTGCACGGTTTAATTTGCTTCGTTCTCTCTCTCTCTCCCCGTCGTGATGGATGCTCCGACTAAAATCACTGGGCTTATTCATCTCTGATTTTAGGAGCTCTTTGTAAGTTTTCGTTTGTTGATCACTGATCAAGGCTACACCAGGTGTCGAAACGGGGGCTCATGCGATGAAGAATTAAAGCATGACACTGTCCGATACCATTGTTTTTCTGGTTTTCTGGTGCTTGTTTTAATATGCTTTCAACTGCAGTTCTTCGGAGCAACCGTCTTTGAAGTTCTTTCTTTCTGTTATTCAGACAGACTCTTGATATAATTGGTACTTAGTGTTCTCTCAGTCATGAAAAGAAGGAAAAGGGTATGTAGAATTGGAGCTTGATTGAAACTGCCCCATTTCTGGAGGATTGGAAGATGGGGAAGAAAATAATGAAATGTTAAAGAAGAGACGTGTATCAAGTACCGTGCAAAAGAACCTGTGGAACCGATAGAATAGGCAAGGTCATTTCGGGAGCATTGAGTATAGGGTGTTCCATGTTATACCCATCTTGTACCTTATATCCTATGCCCGGAGAGGATACCTTGTAGAAAGATACGGGGTATTTTTTATAATATTAAAGGGATAATGACATTGCAAGCACCTGTACTTTTACCCTTTTTAATAATCGAATACCAAACTTTTTTATGTTCAATCATGTATAATCAACTTTTCAAATGTGGGTCAATAGGAGTCCTCTGTTAAGATCGCGAATATAAAATGCCAAATTGGATGCTAGGGGCGGTAAATAGATGTTAATTGTCCAATTAGAGTCCAATGTGGCTTCTTGAAATGATGTCATGTCAATAGAGACATATTGGCTCCGAAGATCGTCCAAGTTTGCACTCCCTCAATCTCCTCATCACCCAACCACCTAAATAGAGATGATGGAGTTTTTGCTTAGTAAAGCAAGCTAATTGGGACATGACAATTTATTTTATGAACACTTCACATTGAGCCAAATTTGAAAAAGTCGAGGTACTCGATTGAACAAATAGAAAAAGATTAGGTACTTGATTGTATAAATGGATAAAATACAATCGATTTGCTACCACATTATCCCGATATTAAATAAATCGATATGTACTAACTTAATTATAATTTACCCTTTTCTTTACGAGTTTTTCATGTTTAATGTGCGGAATGAGGAGAAGAAATGTATTTGTCTTAAGTATTTTACTTGCGTTGTTATTATACCATGTTATTATGTAACTGTAAGACATGAACATGTACTTTTTTTAGGAATCCACCTATGTCTTTATGTTGAATGTCAAATGTGTTAATAATTAAAAATTACGAATTTTATTTAATAAAAAGCTTTTAAAAAAGCATAGAGTAGTATCAGGTACCTTGAAACTCAAGGAACCAGCAGGTTCCGGGTTTTATGGTGGTTCCAATACCTTGTAGGATAGGTTCCACGTTATAAAATTTCGGAAACAGTATCTATAAGATAGGTTTTAGAGTAAGGCAACTATCCTACCCACTTTGGAACTTGCACACTCTTATCTGGGGGTGGCAATTCTCGACACGACCCGTTTGCACGATACGACACGACATGTAATTGACTCGCTTAACCTGTTTGGACCCGAATGGAAACGTTTAAATCAACGTACTAACCCATCATTTTTTGAACACTGCGTGATTAGGCATGTTTTAACATGTTCAATCCTCGTATCTAAACACTTTTTTCACACTTCAAAATCTATCAAAATAGCACCCATATTAAAACACTCAAATATAAAACAAAAACACATCAAGAGATATAAATTCCATAGAATAACAAGAAAAGCACAAACTCAACACTACACTCCAGATGTAATGTGAATAGTAATATTGCTTAGAAATGTGTCCGAACGTATTAAACTTGTCAATACAGATTATTATGGATAAACATATTTATTGTGTACACATATGAACGTATATTTGTCACCATGTTAAGGCATCGTGTCCTGTCGACACCTGATACAATAACACACTCAGTAATTGTATTAGTCAATTCGCGTCGTATATTAGGCGTGTCGTGTTCGTGTCGAGACAATTCAGCATGTCAACACGATACCACGCTAATTGTCAGCCTACTCCTGCCAAGCAAGCCCTTTTCTTGTTCCCTCGAACTTGGAGTATTGGCCCAAATGATAAAGCCCAACAACATCACGCAATCTACTTCTTCTTCTTCTTCTTCTTCTTCTTCCATTTTTCCGCTGAAGATTCACAGATTTTGAAAAACGAGATGATAGATGTCTGAAAAAAAAAAGCTTACTAATTATTGGATAGATAATAATATTTGGCGCATGAATGAGATGAATAGTAAAGTTGTTTCGACCTAGATATTCGATTTAATTGTGCACTTCTCCAATATTCACTTCATAATCGAAAATGTGCAAGAACCAACAAATATTTTTCCACTTATATTATCGGTAGAAAAATACCCTCAAAAGGAATTTGAATTATCAACAAACGACTTATTAAAAATTATTAATAAAATGACAAAAAGAGAGTAAGAAGCCATCTCTCTTAAAAGTTGCATATACGAACAAGTTTAGTACGCCAATGAAACAAAAGTTGCCTGATAACGCCGAGTGGGGCCGAATTCCAAAAAAAACCATCAACTTTACACTTTGTCCCAAATATACCCTGAACTTTTTTTTGTCTCAAGAAAAATCACCAACTTTTATCTAAGTCCCAAATCTGCCCTCCGTTAAAAATCCGTCAATTAACGTCGAAAAAAAAAAAAAAAAACAGAAGCAGGCGCTGTAGCGGTGGCCAAGCCTTCGCCGGTGGCCGTCGCCACGGCCGCCCGCCGGAAGGAGCGGCGGCCCTCGCCCGAGGCCTTCCGAAGGCGGCGACCCTCGCCGGCCCGGGCGGCCGCCGCGCAGGGCGCGCGGCCCCGATCTAGGGCGAGGGTCGCGCCCTCGCCGGCGGCTCGCCGGGGCCGGCGAGGGTCGCCGGCCTTCGAGAAGGTCCAGGCGAGGGCCGGCGACCCTCGCCGGCCCCGGGCGAGCCGCCGGCGAGGGTGCGCGGCCCCCGATCTGGGCGAGGGTCGGCGGGCGCGCGGCCCCGATCTCGGGCGAGGGCGCGACCTCGCCCCGGATCGGGGCCGCGCAGCCCCGCCGGCTCGCTCCCGGCCGGGCGAGGGTCGCCGCCCTCGCCCGGGCCTCTCGAAGGCCGGCGACCCTCGCCGGCCCCGGCGAGCCGCCGGCGAGGGCGCGCGCCCCGATCTGGGAGGGCGCGACCCTCGCCTCGAGATCGAGGGCCGCGCGCCCTCGCCGGCGGCTCGCCCGTGGCGGCGCGAGAGGGCCGCCGCTCCTTCCCGGCGGCTGTGGCGGCGGCCACCGGCGAAGGCTTGGCCACCGCCGCAGCTGCCGGTTCTCTGTTTCTCTTTTTTTTTTTTTTTTCTTGACGTTAATTGGACGGATTTTTAACGGGAGGGCAGATTTGGGACTTAGATAAAAGTTGGTGGTTTTTCTTGAGATAAAAAAAAGTTTAGAGTATATTTGGGACAAAGTGTAAAGTTGAAGGTTTTTTTTGGAATTGGGCCCGTCGAGTGGATAAATAATACATGATTACTCGATTGAACAGTGATTTAGTAATAATCGTGACAGCCCCTCCTTTTTCTTCCTTATAGTGATTCGAATTTCGTTAACGAGTGCTCCAAAATATGTTCGACAAGCAATAAATCGGAAAAAAAAAAAGAGCTATACAGTTTTTTTGATAAATGGTTCGAGGGTACTGGTGAACAAACTTTCGGATTGGTAGGGAGAATCCGAAATTTATGGAAGTTTGCACGATAGCCTTTTTGGAAAGGTGGAAAGAGATTTCGGCAGTTTCGTTTTCAGGACTTTATCTTTTTCATCGTTGCAAATCTGCCCCCCTCCCCTTAAGTGCACGATCGAAGCTGCCACCTCATGCGAACCCTCTCCCCAAGTGCGCATGACGACGTACGTGACGTCAAGGTCACGTCACTGGCTGAAATTACGTAGGTCCTTCGCTTTTGTTAATTCGCTTGGTTTCAAAATTTTTTTTTTCCTTAGATGAGGCAACCGGACAATGATTCTCTATCACGCTTGATTATATATAGATGCCAATTTAATCCTAAACTTTTCCATTTTGCCAATTGAGTTTTAAATTTATGCGCGTAATTCCAATGCAGTCATTCTGGCCAATTTTATCCGGAAATTGCTGATGTGACGGTGTGCCACGTAGGACGGTCGGCGACGACTGAACTGCCATGTCATCGATTTTCAGCAAAAATTGATCGGAATGACTATATTGGAATCTTGTACATGGGGTTATGACTAAATTGATAAAATTTGAATGTTTATGATTGAACTGACATTTCTACGATGAGTTCATGATTAATAGAGTAATTTTTCCTATTTCAACGTGCCTTGACTATTAGTATATTAGTTATAAATTTTATAACCATCTTTATCCACATGGATGAATGATTTGGATCAACGAGTTGTAGAATAGAAATAGGGTCGGGGACGGAGAATCTTGTTACAAGTAAATCATATTCACCGATACAAATTAGTTGCACGTGAATTGCATGAACTCAA